GCCAATTTTAAACATTTGGGGACTGTGGCTTCCCTGACCCTTCAAAATGCTTATAAACAAAAGCAAATGAAAGAAATATTAATAGGACAATAGTGCCTCCCATTCTTGCTCCTCCTGTTCTTCACACATTACTGCCAGTTCCACACCTCTACAAAGTTAAGCCAAACCAAGTGCTGATGCAGCACATTGAACTGAATCAAGAAAAAAACCTAAACAATTACAGTTTTCTTCAGTTAAAATTATTTTCCCACAGAAAGCTGTGACTAAGGACTATTGAGTCCAGAAGATTCTTATGAAGAGCTCTATTGTTGAGCTTCCACACTGCAACATGTATTTACCCTGCTTTCTAAGGTTTTAGCATTTTAGCCAAATTCCTTTTAGTATATTTGACAGGTTCCAGTTTTATTTGAAAGTGGTTATTTCACCTACAGACAGTAATGACTACAGGCTGTTGCCTATGCTTCCTTTTGATGGCTTTTATTAGTTCAAGACCAATTCTATGGCAGGCACTCTCTCTGGCCTTTCCACAACTGCTGCCAAGCCCAGCACCAGCCCATCAACCTTCTATCAGCTAGCACCACGAGGGCAGCTGCCTCTACACTTGGACTTAAAAATTAAAAGGCCAGTCAAAAGGAAGTTGTGGGGCTCTCCACAGAATATCTCTTAAGAGTGGAAATACTGGGAATACCACAAATTAATTCATTCTTGCAGATTGTTTAATGCCTGCTATGTCTTCATTAAATGAAAATACTTTGTGCTCATACTTTACTCTGCAGGCAAACCCACAAAGAGCCCAAAAGGGTCGGAATACTTTACAACTGATACATATATCTATACCAAAGTGGCAAGGTGCTTATGAAGCCTACTAATTGAAAAGTTTCTATAGCCTTTTTATATGTTATCARTGTACACATTATTATAATACAATGTAATCACTTTCAATATATTATATGATAGCTTTTTATATATATTGCTATAAGTTTTTTTAGTGTATTAACAACATGTAGTATACCAGCTGCACATAATCTAACCAGCTGAATTAGTATGTAAATAAGTAAAATCACCAAGAAGCATAAATCAAAAAAGTTCTGAAGAAAGTAGACAAGTAAATGCTATAACAAAGAACAGTAGCAAGCACTAATGAAAACTTAGCAGAAGCACAGGACAATCATCAAAATAATTAGAAATGAYAACTTAGAAGACTAAAAAAAAACCATAAACATCGCAACTGCGCATACCCTGAAAACAAAGGCTAAAAGTCCACCATGATAAAGAAGATATTATCTCATTATAGAGACCCCCGCAACCACCGAATTAAAGATGACACATGCGCACTTGTAAAACTATAATACCACGTATTTCCGTGCCCATGTATAGTAGTAAGTATATGTTAGGCGTATGAAAGGCAGTAACAATGTTCATGTTACACCATGCTTACTGTATAAATATGTACCAATTTAAAGCAAAGGCAGGTGGGTGAAGAAGAAAAATCCCCCTCACCTCCAGCGCTGCAATCAACAAATGCTTGCTCTATAACACCAGTCTATAGGGTTTAATTTCTAAGCCTTTTTGAGCATCACAACCGCAAGCCTTACTTCAGAAAGTGCAAGTGAAAATTTATTTCAGATAAATATATTACTATGTGCACAAGGGAAAATTAAGATAAAAGGTTTTTAGGCATCCCTTTAATTTGGATTCCTTTCACCATATGCAATCCATGGCCTGGTTTCCAGAGATCTCAGGCCCTTTCAAGTGCACTTGTAATCATAGGCTTTAAGATCTTCTTAATTCATGCAAGTCAGCCAAAATTAGAGGGCAGAGTTCTAGGTCTTCATCAGTGTGGTGGGGCTGTGGCACTGCAAAGACAACACATGCTGCTCAGCTTGGTCTGACGTTATCTAACATCCAAATCAGTCCTTGCTTTCTGAGCTCATGCAGCTGTCTGGAATCTCTGCTGGCAATGAACACTGAGACCGCAGGGCAGAAATATGGCTGAAACTGAAAACGTCTCTACTACATAAMCAGTCTGTAAAGATGAAATCCATTACATTACCAGTTTCCAAAAGCAGACCTTGAAGAAAATGCCAGCCAGTGGATGGTTAAGAGTTTCAGCATATTGGGCCAGATTCCAAAACCCTCAAGCCAGTTAGTAATTAACAGACATCTAGGTCCTCCACATGAAAGAAGTCTATTGTTAAAACAGTGACACAAATTTTTCCTTTTCCTAGCCAGTCTCTGCCTGTGTTTTAAGATTCCCTTAGGACTATAACAGCCTATGATTTTAGAAGCTCCACTTCTCAAATAGACAATTTGTTAGACTTTTAGTTGCCAAGAATGCAAACATGCTTATAYCAGAGGTACAACAAAATTAATTTACAGGCTTCTCAGAGACCCATAATCTCCCCTTTCTTCCATTTAATACCTGGGGAAAAAAATATCCAAATAACTTTCTACCATATCTACAATAGCAAAAGAATTACAAAACATAATAACAAAACATACTATAAGCCTGTAAATAGTCTGAGATGAGTCCAATTAGTGAGCAATGTACCTACGGGGAATATTAGCCTGTGTCTTCATAAATAATGATCTGTTACAGCAAAATTTGTAAGATAAACCAGAGACTGCCTCACTAAAAACATTTTGTTGGCAATGACTTTGTAAAGTAAGAATGGTCTATGATCGCATAGAATTGCCTGTTTTCTGTTCTGTTGTCTTACTCAAGATAGATGTGTGAATGATAAGAGACTACATATAAACCACACAAATTAATCAATGTAATAAAAGAGAAGATTATCTTGTGAAAGAAGTGCAGACACTTATCTGTAAGGGAGCAAGTTAAATCACCAAGGATAACAGGGAGAATGTGACAGAACAGAGCTGGTAGAAGTATTCAATGGAATTGAAGGCACTTTTAGAAGAAAAGAGTCAATAAAACAAAGAGCTAAACCCATCAGAAAAGAACAAAAAGCTGCATCAGAATTTCAAATCATTTTCTCAGGATGCCCATGGCTTTCCAAAGTCTATGGCTTCAACKGTTTTGCTGTTTTCTGGAGTTTGACTGGTGTCTCTACCTCACCCAAGTCTATCTGGTCATATGGGGAAAACCCCAAAACTCAATGGCATTCAAAATGAAGAAAGGATCCCTGGAGAAAAGAACAAGATGAGTTCCTTTTGGACCAGCTTTACCTCCTCCCACTCCAAGGAGCTACTTGCAATCTGCCTGTCAATGGAATTGTTCATCTAAACTCTCTACATACGACCAGAACTGTGAAACAAAAGCTTAATTCAGCAACTCAATCAACAGCACCATTCACCAGGACAGTCAGTCCTTCTGCTGTCACCCCAGCAAAAGTGCCAGCAAACGTGAAGGCACGTGGGAGCGCTGCTCTCACCTCTGGGTGCAGGTCAGGTCAATCCAGGTCCAGACTGCAGAGCCCAAGGAAGCTCCCACTGCTGCTGGACGACAGCTACAGATAGGTTGCTGGGATGTCAGATCAGCATCACTTGTGAGGTTCTGCCACCTAACAAATTTGGGAAGAACTAAGCTTACTGGTTCACTGGCAGAATTTGCTGTTGTGCTGCAGATAGCCTACCTTACAGTTCCAGCCTAAATGCAAAGTGAAGGAAACTACAACAAGTTTCCAAAAAGCCTCATTACTTTTGTTCTAAGAAAAATGTATTTCTCTCTATTTTTGCTTCAAATAGCAAACAAGATCTATTAGAACTTTCTAATATATTCATAGATTGTCTTTCGTCTGAGGCAGGCAGTTACATATTTTTTTAGAATCTTCCAGCACTGGGCTCTGTATTTTGTTTATTCTTTATATACAATTGCAAAGCCACAAGTGTTTCCTAACATTCAGTATTCACAAGCACATATATTAATAATTCAGCAAAGAGAAATGAATCTGCAACCATCATCTCATAATGCAGAATACTCCAAGAGCAAGAAAAGCTTGTGCTTAATTTTAAAACAAACAATTAAAAGGCAGAAAATATCTTTTTAAAAACATAAAGTACTATTTTTATTGRGAGATTTGTCAGCACATCAGGAGTGCTGAGCCACCCTGTTCCCAGCAATGTTACTGTGAGTTGTCTCATTCCTGTCTGGGGAGCTGGGCAGTTCTCATGGGCTGAAATGCAGCCACAGCCACAGATGTAGGCACGCCTGTGTAAACATTTTAAAGGCTTTATAGGAGTACAAAGCAGATGCTGGACATCAAAATCTTCTGGAGGATCTTGGGTCAGATGAGAGCTCCAAGTCATGTAAACTCAGCATTCCCCTAGAATAATCACATATCTATCTCCCACCACAAGATTGGCAGTATCGACAAGATTGGAAACCCTTTCGCAATTATGTATGCATATTATGTTTATCTCTACAGTTTTAAAGTGGTGGCAAAAAAGCGACAAAAAAGCAATGACAAACCACTCTCCGGGCTTTTTAAGAGCGGGGTAATTTTTTGCTCCTCTGAAAAACATCTTTACATAGCCATAACACCAACACTCGCAAAGGCAACGCAGGCGAAAACTTTAAAGGGAGATATAAACCTTTATTTTCACACTTCGAACAGAAAATGGCAGCGATAATTTAGCGCTTCATAGCGCAGCGGTGCAGCCAGCAAGAGCAAAGAGCAGAGGCTAGCAGTGAAGTTACGCAATTCGTTCACGTAGCAAACATTTTAATTTACGATACATTAACGAAGACACAGCAGCCCGACATCCCCCCACCACAGCACAGATCACACACCAGCCGCCCCAAGATGGCGCCGCGCACCCACAGCGCCCCGGGCACAGCCCGCCCCCTCCAAGATGGCGGACGCACCTCCAGTCCCTCGGCGCTGCCCCCGCCCCGTCTGCACCGCCTCTCTGCCGCCACACGGCCCCGCCTCCTCCCCGCCTTCCCTCCTCCTCCATTGGCCAGTGCCGCCGCCCCTCCTCCCGTCGCAGCCAATGGAGAGAGAGAGAGAGAAAGGCGGTGTGCGCGCGCCCTCCCTCCTCACGAGCGCGGAGCCGCCCCCCCATCGTCGCTTGCTCTTCCCGGCGGACTGCGCCCCTTGGCGGGTGGCAGCGTCAGTGCAGTGTTGGAGGAGGAGGACGAGGACGAGGGAAGAAGCAAAAGAAGAAGCCGGCGAGGAGCCGGGACGAGGCCTCGAGGGGCGCGGGAGTGACCTGGGGCCGGACCCCTGGCCGCAGGCTCGCCTCATGCCAGCCTCCCAGCCCGACAGGCACTCCAGGCCCTGCCCGCCGGTCTTCGGTGCCTGCCYTGCGGCCGTGCCAGAGCGCAGCGAGACCCCGACCTGAGCTGGGCTTGGCGCTACCCCAGCGTGGGTGACAGCCTTCCGAGCAGCATCCCCGGAGGATGGAAGAGAAAAATAGTAAGCCTTAAAAAAATCRTATACATGTGTATATAAACATATATGTATGTATGTTTTGACCAGCCATTAGTCTTGCAAAAAACATTTCTAGGAGTCAACTGTCTTCACCTAACCTGTTTTCTCATTCAACCAAATGAATTATCCAGAATGAATGGCAAGGTTTTTGTTTGCGGGTTTTTTTTCAGTTCCAGCCTAGAAAAGATGAAATAACTAAAAAAGATGAAGTAACTAACATAAATAAGATATAATTTATGTTCTCTGTGTAATTTTGTGCCGCCCGGGCAGGTGGTGGAGTCACCATCCCTGGAGGTGTTTCAGGAAAGACTGAAATTGTCAGTCATTGCCATGCTCTGGTTGACACGGTGAAATTTGGTCATAGGTTGGACTGGATGATCTCAGAGATCTTTTCCAACCTCTTTGATTCTGTGATTAATGGAGATAAAATTTTGGAATCTTCAATGTGTTTGAAGAGTGCTGCCTTACTTCTCCTTAATATTCTTACAGTGAAGGATATCTTGTGTTTGTCAAGAAACAGATTTAGTAATTTATTTACCCAAAAATAGCTTGGTTTGTTGGGTTTTGGTTTGGTTTGTTGTTGTTGTTTTGTTTTTGTTTGTTTTTTTTGCCTAAGTAAATTAGTTTAGCTGTAGTACTGCTGTACTGACATCATCAATTTAGAAAAAAAAMCCCAACAACCTCTGAGTTAGTGGACAAGGGTTGTGTACGCTTAGCTGAAAATGCTGGAACGTTTGGGTCACCTTGTGAGAGCTTCATGCTTCAGGGATAGTAAGAAATTAGCTAAGTAAAAAAATTTCCTCACACACCATGTTTCATCTGAGTGTTCCTCMGCTAGATCTTGACAAGGTGTGGGATGGCTGTTTGAAAGGGAGATGACTATTTCAATACTACATTTTCTCACACAGTGCTCCTCCCTGTACCCACTGGAGTATTCACTTGTGTAAATGTTGAAAAGCTGAGCAGTTGCAATCCGTTTTCATTTCTTACCTGATCTCTTACTTACTTGTCCTTTCTGCACCTCTTGCAGTGCTGTGTGACTTCTTTGAAGAGAACAACCTTACCAGTTCCAAGGAGGAGAGCAGTGAAGGTAGTGTAATTTGGATTTATGGACAGAAAGGGGAAGGTAGTGTATATTTGGCACTGCTTCTGGTAGGAAAATTGTAACTGGAAGACAATAGCTTTGCCTTTTATGGTGTAAGAGGTTAGTCAGCAGCACTACGGGAAACATGCACCCAAGTTGTTTTTCTGGTAGTTAGAGTAAATAGCCCTGACTTTGGCTGCTTGTATCTTGCTCTAGTATCATTCCTCTGCACAGTGCCAGGAAAGAAAGAGATGCATGGCCACAAGGATTCTATTAAGGGAAAAAAAACCAAAATCCCTCCAGACAGGTTTAGAACCATTGCCACCAGATGCCAGTCCACAACCTGATTCATCAGCTGGAGAGATGATTCTAAGTACTGACAAGGTAGATGTATCCAGTGTCTGTTCATTCCTGTCTTCCTGGCTGTGGTTGGTGATAGAAGCATTAGCATGGGAGAGATGAGTGATGTGGACTTCTGTCTTTTTTGAAATGAAAATTATGCTATGAACTTTATATGCAATCTTTGCTTCTCCATACAAAACAAAGCTTTTGCTGCTTGAGTGTTGGGGCACTTCAGCATGGGAATTGAGAAAGCATTTCCTAGGTGAGCACTACACACAGCAGTATATGTTTTATTTCCCTTTGGCCTGTGCATTATTATAGCTGAGAACCCAGAAACAAGAAACTGTGTTCTGTCACCCATCCTCTGAAGCAACCCATCCACCAGATTTAGTTAAATGTATGGAAACATCTGAAAACAGGTAATGAATGAGGACAGCAGTTTTAATCTGCAGTGGAGAAACTTATTACTAGAATTTCTAAATGAGTATTTTATTTTAATGTATACTTTATTTTATACACAAGCATTAAATATGCTTTTTATTATTTTAAATTTGTGATACTGTCACAGACAGCAACAGGGTGGGAACGGCAAAGGGCAGGTGGTATCCCTTGGACCAGTAGTGTAAATTTCCAAAAATTATAGTGACTTTTTTTTGTAATGTGACTTTAACCTTTCTGCACGTTTAAAAATTTCTGTGAATATAGGAGATCATTAAGTTTTGTTGACAGTGCCAAATCAGCTGTTTCTCAAATTAAGTACTTTTATTATTGCCTGTTAATATTTAGTATTATGCCTTTAGCTGCTGGTGATATAAGCAGCAGGGCTTGTGATGACAAAAGAATGTTACATCTTTCGCTGCTGTTGTAATGCTTTTGAGAGTAACCACACTGCCATAGCATCCCTGGTCTTCTGGTGTCCTGGGCAACAGAAGTCATTCTCTACTAAGTCAAAATATGAAGGAAATACTTTTTATGAGCCTTAAAAGAATGGAGTATTTCTTGACTGCTGGGGGGGGGGTGTCGCCTCAGCACATTTGCCCACAGAAATTTGCTCTCTGAAAGTGGAATGTAAATCTAGTGGTGACAGTGGACTCCACCTCTAGAAATGGAGTAGGAAAATGGATTTGCTTATAATTTTGTGCTTGGTCATTGAAGAAGAGCAACATTAACCATGAGAAAGAGCTGGTTCTTTTTTTCTGGCATCACCTGTTGACACACTGAACCATATTGCTTTTTCACAGTCCTTGACAAAGATGCGCTGCTAATGTTTTAATAAGAACTTTCATGAGTGACTTAGCATCTCAAAGGAACATACCTTTGGAAGAGAAGAGGTTCTGAACTAGTAGCTTAAAAATATTTCTTTACACAAAATATTCTTTACAAATATTTGTAGTGGAGGAAGGAGGCATGATATATGGGGTGTGTTAATTATTTCAATTGATACCCCTTGTTAAACAAAATTTATCAAACTGCTTTTATCTGAAAATATTTTGAACATTTTTTTCCTCTACAAAACATACCAAAAATAAAGATGGGACGGGATAATCACCCTATGCGGCTGAGGGAGGTTATAGCTATAAAAAAAATCCGAATATCTTTCGTTGAGTAATATATTCAGTTCATTCAGTTGAAAATATTCTTATGTGTCACTTCTGTAAGTTTCAGTGATTAATTTTTAGTGGGAGTCATTTGCTGGTGTTTGAAGAAAGGCTTCCACATGTCCCTTTGGGACCTGGTTGACGAGTTGCTTACGGGACCATTGCACTCCAGTTCATCACTTGACTCCTGTTTCACTTTATGGATTAGGTTTAGGAATAAACTTCTGGAGGTTTAATGCCTCCTGCTATCCTGATTGTTATTTCAGAAGTGCTTCCAAATGAAATGAGTGGCAGCCTTTGAATAGTCTACTAGAAGTTGGGCATGTTTTTAGACTTCTCAGGAGCTGTACAAACTTGTAAATGAAAATTTACATTTCAGGTGATGTGAAGACATTTTGGAGACAACTGGGAGGTAGAACAGTGGATGTCATATTTGAGAAGGTGCAAAATGTGCTGTTGTTGCTGAAGGAAAAGATCAAGAATGGAACTGCCACAACTCAAGGTTTGAAAAACCTCTAGTGGTTAAACTGGACTGCAGGGTAGCTGTGGCCTGCTTTGCCTATGTCTATGTGATATCTGCCATTATTCAGAATTTAAATTACTTAGTAATTGGTGGGTTTAAGCACTTTAAAAAATGTCTCTTCTTTTTTAAAAACAAAAAGTAATTTCAGGTGCATTTTGCTATTTTCTTGTTTTGTCTGTTTATTTTTTCAAACAATGCATAGCTTTTAAGCACATGGAACTGAAATACTCATTTTTGAGAAGTCATGAAGTATCTGCAGTATCTGATATCTTTCATTTATCATCAGAATGTTTAGCCTTTCAAGCTGATACGAATTAATTGAGTGGTTTTGGGGTGGGATAATAATCACCTCAGTATTATTTTCTGTCAGAGATACCACTTTAACTTGAAACAATAGTAGAAAAATGTGACACTAATGCATTTCAGATTGTTCCTGATTTTCGTGGAAATAAGCTTCCTCTATCTCTCCAAAATGCAATAAAATTGTAATTCTGGTAAGCTTGGAGCAGTACACATGTTTCCTTTTACTGGTTTATTTAATTGAGTAAAATTGCTTCTTTTTGTTAAGTCASCCATATAAATGGATCTTATGGGGGTGTTTTGTGCAAGAAAATACGCAGTGATGTAACATGCTTTTAAACTAATRTAGCCACACACTCTGTATTATACGTAACACTTCTTTTAACCTGGCAGTGCAATTTTTTTCTTCTTGTGCTCCCATATCTTGACTGTTAAGACAAAATATTAAAGCAGTGCAGAGATAAAAGTTGAACTTGAATCCCCAGATGACTCAATGAATCTGTGATAAAGTTCAATTTGAATTTTTCTAAGCTTGGTTTTTTAAAGGTTTCAAGCTAATATATTGACATGGATTTTGCTGAGATTTTTCTACCACCTTGTAATATCTATTGCATGCGGTAAGAGGTTGAGACAGAACTGGTCTCTTGAATTCTTACTATCTGAAGGCCATTTCCACCACTAATTTAGAAGTAGCATTAATTTGGTCTGCCAAGATCCACCCCTTCTTAGTCTGATGACAAAGAAAGAAGCTTACACTTTCCTCCATATATGTTACTGCCACTGTAGACCACCAGTTTATCCGTGTTTCAAAACATTCCAGCAGCTTTGCAAAAGCTGACAGATACTCAGTGCCAATTCATAACTACTGCTGTGAGCTATAATGATTTTGTAATTCCTAGATGCATCTGCTGAGGTCTGTGGTATAACATATTTTTAATAGTATCAGTTTTGCAATGCTCTAGATGAGCACAGTGAGGAGAAATAAGTGTCTCTGGGGGACTTAACACCTTGTTTTACCTATTATCATTAGTTGAATTAAACTTAAGTATCTGTTTTGGTTTGTTTTTTTGTTTTTTTTTTGCATAGAATGCTGGCAGGCTTGGGCACTGGTGAATGAAGCTAATCTAGGTGATCTCTTAACCTTGGCAAATGGTATGTTCATCTCCATAGTCTTTGTTTTGATATGTGGATTTAATTTGTCTTGTTTTACTCACTGGAAGCTCAATTCTCTCCTTTGAAATCAATAAAACAGATCTGAGAAGGCCATTACCATTACAATGAGGAAAACCTAATTAATAATCTCCTCAAGTACTGAACTGTGAACTTTAACCTGGGTTTGTATTTTTGTGGTTTGTGTATGTATGTGTATAATACCTGTACCACAGGAAGAGTTTGAACTAATGTGCCCTGATGAACCCGAGCTGTCTGTGAGCATTTACTCTGTGCATGGCTCCACCAATTGTAATAGCTTGGCATCCCTTTTCCCTTCTCTAATAAAGAAGGGAAATCTATAAATGTGTTTTATGTGCATATTGTTTCTGGTCACTTTGAAAACTACATAGAAGATTTTTTCAGTAAGGCACGTGCTAACAAGTTCTTTATTAGCTGTATTTCATAGCAATGCATTGTTTGTAATGTATTTTGTTAATTATTGTTATCTCTTTAGTAACTAAACTGAATTAAATTATAAATTGAAATGTGGATTGATGAAGTTTTTGCTCACATTTAATTTTTTTCAGTAAGTGATGAGTTGAATGGAGATGGCGCACAGGAAACCAAACTCAAATTGCGGCCTCCTCTTTCAGCTGACAATGCTGCAAACACTGTAGAAGGTTCTGACAGGTCAGTGTCATCATTTCAGCTCCTTATTTGACATATTCTTTACTGCATTTGAGAGAATTCTCAAATTTGTGTTTCTAAAGTCAATGTTTTAAACCCAGGCTTGAATCCTGCCAGTTTTCAAAGTGAGTATGTTTTTATCTTGATCCTCAGGTGGATCCTGATGTTTTGGATAGATTTGTCTAATTTGCCACCTAAGAATGTTGCAGAATAGGTCATAGGTTGTGAATAAAGGTTCATAGGTGTCATCAGGGTTAGGACTTACACATCGGTTCTCAGGCTTTTCTTACTGTGCAGGTTGTCAAGCATGCRACTTAATCTCTCTGTGTTTAATATTTAGCCACAGGTACTGATTTAAAAGATGGGGCAAATATGTCATTCCTTCTTTTTTTGATGTCCTTGCTGTGTTTTAGCATGTAAGTTCTGGGAAGAAGCTCTTGCCTTTTGTTTTTTYCATGCAACTGAATACGTATTTATCTGCTGTTAGAACAGTTACACAATGGAAACCCTGGGCCTTCAAGGAATGGCCTGTTTCTTTCCTGTGCTAAAAGTATTAAACTACTAAAACACTGAACACTTCGCTGATTGTCTAAGATGCTGCTCTTCCTTCTTTTTTTTTTTCTCTTTWAACGCAAATAGCAGAAAGGAGGAGATGGAAGGAACATGCTCAGGGAGTAAAGAAGAATCTAGCAAAATTCAAGGTTTACCTTTAAACGTGCAGTATCAGAACCACAAGTGCTCTAGTGCGTGTCTTACCAACAGAGCAGTGGGCTTCCACAAGGGTGAAAATCCTCTGAAGATCCCAATCCTTTTTGACTTTCAAAGACGTCATGCAAAAGCAGACTGCCTTTCAAAATCACTGGACGTCAATTACAAAGCTCCTTGTGGTCGGAGTCTGAGAAGCTTTCAAGATGTGCAGAATTACTTGTTTGAAACAGAGTGCAATTTCTTATTTGTTGACCACTTTTCCTTCAACACTTATGTACTGTTGGGCAGGAACACCATGAATCCAGAGCCCCTGGTGTTTGAATTTGATATTAGCAATGGAGCCGAGTCTGTGCCCATCTCCTTCTGTAACAATCTCGACCACGCAAGGTTACCTTATTTCAGGTATCGGAAGTCGTCGTGGCCACGTGGATATTATCTCAACAATTTCTCCAGCCTGTTTGTTGATTCCTGTGACTGCACAGATGGCTGCATTGATAGGTAGGTAGAAAGATCCCAGGCCAGTGACACACAGTGCCTTAACAGTAGGGTGATGGTGTGTGAAGGTGCAGTACCAAACAGGACCAGCGCTGCTTCAGTGCCATGCTCTGTGTTGGCTGACACCACTGTGTCTTTCTCTTCCTTCAGAACTTGGGTGGTCCTACTGGTTTGCCCTCTATTGTAGGGAAGGAGGTGATCAGTAGGTGGATTATTGTGTTCCTTTCTTCCCAAATTGGCAGTGCTTCTCCTCCAGGTGGAGCTGGCAAAAGCTGATCTCGGCTTTGAAAAAAGAGTAGGGAAGGGATTCTTGTGCCAGCAGAGGCAGGCTTGTTTTCGTGGCGGGCAGGGAAGGACCATGGATGAGAATTTTTGCTGCAGCTCCTACTGTGCAATGACATCTATAGATGGGGTGGCACAGGCTTCAGGGARCAGATCATATGGAACTTAGAAGGTTACTGCAGGCAGAGGAAGAAAATTTCCCTTCCCAACCTCTACATAATGTCCCTCCCCTTCTCTAAACAGGAACTAACAAATCCTGTGGTTACAAATTATAACATTGTGGTCTGAGTAGTTCCAACAGTCTTGCTCATTGCTGTCTTTTTGTAAATCCCAGTAACTCTGAGCTATAGACACTCTGTGGGAACCTGTCACAGTTATCATATGCAAGTTTGGTGGTATTTTCGTCTGCTTTCTTGAAGGGTATTTGTCTGATCTTTGTAGGCATTATTTGGTGTTGCATCTATATTGTTGATAGCTAGGGTAGTTGCAGATGCTGCTGTGCAACGTATTTGCTCATGACCCAGCAAAAGCTTGAAATCACAGCCTGGTATAATGCAGCTTTAGTAATTAAAGTAGTTTAGTTTCAGCTGAGTGGTAGGGAACAGCAAGCACACAGCATGCCACTTCTCTGCACTGAAGTCCCCCAAGAGTTGAGATGCTTTTGATGGGCAGTTTTGGGGTTCAGGATTTGCCCAATCGCTGTRACTCTGGAGTTGTGATACACGATGGTGAAGACAAGCATCGTTGCTTGGATTCTCCACAGTGTAAAATTCTTTACTTCCTGGGAGCTAAGGTGGGAGGAAGATAACCAAGTAGTAGCAACAGGTTGGGATGCTGTGTCAGAAGATGTGATTTTTATTCATTCAATGCATTTGACAGTGTCCTGCTTACAATAATTTTCTGTTGTATTTTAGCCATTTGCATGTGCCATTTAAGGAGCTTGGCAGAAGAATGGGGTTAGGGTGAAGAGAGCATGGTAATTGTAAAGCACATGTAACCAGTTAAGAGGTTAAGAAAAAAGGTAGGGTGCTTGAAACAGCCTTGTGGAGTAAAAGGAGCAGAGAGGGGGAATATATACGGAACTGTGTGTGTATAGTCAAGTACATTTCAAACTACTTAGGCTTATGATTGATTTTTGCTGCTCCAAATACATACTGAGATGTTTTATTCTTATTTTTAGGTCAAAATGTGCATGCCTACAGCTAACAGCAAGAGGCCGTAGTAAAATTTCTCCATCTCCAGGTGGTAAAAGATTCTGTGGATACCGTTACAAAAGACTGGAGGGACCTGTTCCTACTGGGTAAGAAAGACTACAGGAGTTAAATAAGAGCATACAAATAAAATAGCAGTTAATAGTTCAATGTAAGTGCCACAGGTTTAAAATAACTGGAGTTTTAGAATTACTGAAACCTTCCATTTTTGTTACAATTTTAGTGACAGATCACTATGATGATAAAAAATAATTAATGTGACTTGAGTAATGGGAAGAAAAAAAAACCTGCTGCAGATACTACAATTTTCACAGCTTAGATCAAGGTCCAAGAAAAGTGGAGAGTGACCGGTCCTAAAGACGCATCAGCCAGCTGCTGTTGCCAGACTTGGTTATATGTGACCCTTCCAAGAATCTCCATCGAATATTTCAAGCATTTTCCCTTTCTTTTATTCAGGTTCTATGGATTAATAGATAGCCTGGAAAAGGTGCCAGTTACTTCACGTGTCTAGGAGAGGAATTGTGCAAGGTGGCTTTCTGCAATAGCCAAGGGCTTGAATTTACAGGCTCAAGGAGGCCCTTTCAGACCTCTGTGTGGTGTTAGTGTGTGGCTCACATGCAGAATTAAAGTTGTCAGAGAGCCCAGAAACATATGCTAAAAAAACACCCTTTTGGAAATACTTCATTAAAACCTTAAATTCCTGACAGCTAAAGTGAAGTCCAGGGATAGGTTGTCTTTGCTGAGATCTGTTCCAGCATAGAATGAAGTGCTTCATAGGGATTTCTGTTTCTGTGTGATTTACTCTATAAAACAAAAATAGAGCATTTGTTTTTCTTGTATACTTATACCAAAATCTGTCAGACAGACTCCTAAAATTTATGAATCAGCAGTCAAGAAAGTCACAAGCTTCAGGGATTGTTGCACAACCAGTTTTAGCAAGTCTTTATCTTTTCAGTCCACTGCCTTTTTCATGCTTAGGAGGGAAATTAATAATAGGTACTTCGTTATGGTAATGCATCCTTTTATATTGTGTTTTGTTTTTCTTTCTCTCGACAGGATTTATGAGTGTAGTGTGTTGTGTAGGTGTGACAACCAGTTTTAGCAAGTCTTTATCTTTTCAGTCCACTGCCTTTTTCATGCTTAGGAAGGAAATTAATAATAGGTACTTCGTTATGGTAATGCATCCTTTTATATTGTGTTTTGTTTTTCTTTCTCTCGACAGGATTTATGAGTGTAGTGTGTTGTGTAGGTGTGACAAAATGATGTGTCAGAACAGAGTTGTACAGCACGGCATTCAAGTCAGGCTGCAGGTGTTCAACACAGAAAAGAAGGGCTGGGGTGTCCGCTGCCTGGATGACATYGACAAGGGGACATTTGTTTGCACTTACTCAGGTAGCAGGAGGAGACCTGTGGAAGACATGTAGCATAATTCTCCCACTCCCATGCTGTGTGCCCTGGATTTTTTTTGAGAACAGGGAAATACAGGGAAGGGAAGCGTGTCAGTATAATCCTGACTTGCAATATGATCAAATAGACAGAAGACCTTTGAAGAGCTCTGCAATGAGACGGTGATAGACAAACAATCAATACAATGTGGAGCAAAATCTATATCAGAYTGTTGATTTTTTTTTTTCCCTCACAGATCTGTGCATCCTATGCTAGGGCTAATTTTCTTTCAGTAAAAAACATAGAATCATAGAATGGTTTGGTTTGGAAGGGATCTTAAAGAATGTCTGGTTGCACCCCCAACAATATGCAGTGACATCTTTCACTAGAGCAGGTGGCTTAAGACCCCACCCAACCTGACCTTGAACACTTTCAGAGATGGGGGCATCCACAGCTTCTCTGTGCAACAGGTCCAGGGGCCTCCCACCTTCACAGTGAAGAAGTTCTTACTAATATCTAATCTAGACCTACTCTAAGTTCAAAGCCCTGCTCCCTTGTCTTATCACTACATGCCCTTGTCTAATTGAGTTTATATGTCAGCCTATATCATCACATCACAGAATTATAGACTGCATTCTCATTGTGCTTTCCAAGTARTGCTCTTGTATTTGTGAATATACGTTGGTACTGTGATAGTGATTCAGCAAACAAGCATAAAAAAAACTATGAAAACTTTTCTTTTTCTTTTAGGCAGATTAATGAGCAGAGCTGAAGTATTGGGAGATGCTGAACAAGAGCTGAAGGACAAAAGTGCAGTGAATGACAGAGGCCATGACTTTTTTTCCAAAAAAAGAAAACTTGACACTGATAGCTCAGACTCAGTGATTGAACTAGTGCAGATTGACAAAAGTGACATTCTTGAGAATCAGGAATCTTTGTCTCAGACTGTGGATAATGAAAATAAATCAACCCTGTAAGTTTAGCAAAGTAAGCTTAAGCATAACAAAACTAATATTCTGCTATTCCAAAAATTCTGTTTTATAACTTAGAGTATGCCCTCARCTGAGGGTGGTGGGTTTTTTTTCTTTCTGAACTTATTTTTAAATTCCCAGTTATTTCTTCTAGTGGGAAAAAAATTTTACTTATTATGTGTACCACTTGGCATTTCTACAAATCCAGTTCACCTCTTGGGTGTACTTGATCTGTTCAGGGCATTAAGTGTAATGCTAATTTAAAAAAAATACACTTGAGATAAATTGTTTAAAGATACTCTGTGACACCAAAGGGTTTGATGACATATTAGCCACCAACTGTCCTGACCTTTGCTCCCAGTCTATAAACGTTTCAAACCTTTTGTTATTTCCTGCCAGAAGCCTTAACCTCTCCTGTTAAGAGTTTGACAATACTTCTGTTTTGCAGTGAATGTTTTCATTGTACTCGCAGAGTCTCAGAGCCCATTGGGATTCCTGCAACAAAATTATGTAAAATAACAGTGTGCATGTGTCAATGGCATGCTGTAGTCTTTTCATATAGAAGCTGGGAGTATATTTTCTTAAACTTTATTCCTTTCTCTGCAGCACTTCTTTGCAAACGCTTTTTTTGTGCTACTCATAAATGATTGCAAATTATAGGTGTTTTCATGGTAGAAGATTATTGTGGATCTTTGAGAAGCACCATGAAATTGCAAATGGAAGCTTTTAAAAATACTTGCTACTATATTCTCATTTGCATGTCAGTATCTTGGAAATCTATTGAATTTATAATTTTGTAATTTTATTATTATAAGCAATGATCTAGGCTTTACTTCTACTAAGTGCTGTTACTAAAAATTTCAGGGAAGGACAGTTTCTAAGTTGCCTTGACTGCACTGCAACCTTAAATGTTGCTAATTTCCTTTCTCGAGAATAAAAAAGTTTTGCACATGGGCTATGTAAAAAATTATTCAGAAAAAAAGACTTTGTTATTCTGCCTCTTAAAAAATGACAGCGCAGCTCAACTGAGAAACTTTGAGAGGACATCAGTGTGCTAAGCTTGATATGTCATTCCCCCCAAACAAGATACCTTTGGAAGGAWGTAGTCATGGAATAATGTCACATCTTCTTGTGGCCTCTGTGTGCTGTGAATTTACAAAGCAGTTTAAAGGTTTAAAGAGTAGCATTTCTTGCCATTATCAGTAGCCCAAAAAAAGTACCATGATGGAGATATTTGTGGCAGGAAAACACACATAAATGTTTTACATTGAAAATTTTCTTGAAAAAGAGCTGTTACATATTGCTAGACGTTGTGCAGATATTAATATTCATTTTGAAACTGGTATTTTCTAGTGCACTCTAAATGTAGTCCAGATTAATGTGATTTTAGATGTTTTAAGTGTTTACACCAGGTAACTTCTTCCCATCCTTCCTCAACCCCCTCCTGATGTGAAGGACTGGGCTCCTTTTGTGGGAGAGCATTCTCTAAATCTGTCATATATTGCTTCTCCCCCTCTGTCTTCCTYTGCATTCCTCATCTCCACAACATCTTTGCTTTCCTGTTTGAAAGCTGTACTGTCAAAACTGTTGAAAGTAGTAGTGGGAAAAGGCAAAACTCTGTAGGTGCTCTATTTTGAGATGATCTRACATAGTAATAGTAAAACAACAAACAATTTGGTTCTCAGCAGGACAACTGGAAAAGGATGTAAAAGCAGTTGCCAATCTCTCAAAAAAGCTTGAGCGTCTGTTTTTTTACAAATACTGTAGAGAACCTAGCTTAGGTTCTCAATTCTTAAAAGCAAATTATTCACAGAGGGTGAGGCCAGACTGCAGGCTCTGCTGTAATTCCTTCTAGAGATATGACTGGAACTAGAGACTGTTGGAGAAATGTGTATTTTGAGAGTTACTTATGGGTCTGTTTGTTTTTTATAATTTCTTTTTGGCCTTTCTGTACAGGGTTCATCCAAAGAACTCAAGTAATGCAACCGTGAGAAGGCCTGGAACTAGAACAGTTGTTTTTCGTGATCACCAGCTAAAAATGGTAATAAGTGGCTTTAACAGATTCATTTTTCACTGTGCTGAATACGTATATTTTGACATTTTCATCTTGTGTGTTTAGATAGTTCTGATGATCTTTCTGAATGAAATTATGTCACACTGGGAGCTAGGCTGCCATGCAGGAAGCTGCACCCCATTCTTTCTCCATTATTAGTCCTTCAGCATGTTCCTCCAGACCACCACCATCTATTCTCACAACCTTCCCTTCTCCACCCATCTCTTACACTCCAGCCTCAAGAGCCTTAAGTAATTATTCTCCCCTTTCATCCGTTGTAACTAAATACAGGGTTAGGTGGTCAGAGTAGTAATATTTTTGTGATGCCTTCCCATAAGTGGCATAGCAGGGAGAGAAGAAAATCTCAGAACATCTATGCGCTTTTCTCATACAGTGGCAGAGCTGGGAGARCTGACCTGCGTGTGACTCCTGATCTTACACGAGTATGAAGCATTGCCTGCAAATATGTGCAAAGAAGGAAACTGGTGTAAACTTCCACTGTGGGTTTTATTGGATTCATTGCCCTTAAGAAGTGCACATGGGATTTTCATGCTAACATTTTGCAGTGCTGTCTGTTCTGGAGCTCCCATATCTAACTGCCTTTTTGTGGTGGGAGAGGAGTAATTCTGCCACATCCAGTCATTTAATTGAAACTGTATAAAAAGCGTGTTTGGGACTTGGCTCAGCAACTTACAATTCTGGTGAAATTGTTGGGACTTAAGCAGTTGTTGAAATGTCTTATTGAGTGGGGGACTCTATCCATCTTACTTTGAAGAATAATTTGAAATTAAGGTAAATGTTGCACTGCAGTAAATGTATTTTTCAAATTCAGCCACAGCCATTCATTACAGTGGGTAATGGAGTTCTAAGAGCCACTTTCTGTGCCCTGTTGGCCTAGAGTTGCATGCAGCAACAATGCATTGCAGCTTTTTCATTTGATACACAGGTGCACAGTGCCAGCTCAGATGAAGATGACAGTTCTCAGATTCAGCAGTCAAGCAAAACAAAACTAACCAGTGGAACAGAGAAAGGAAAAGAAAGTAAGTTTGCTGCACTATGCATAGTGATGCTTTGCGCAACTGTGTCCCATCAGGTGATACACTTTGATGTAGACAGTGTGGGCAGACCTGTTCTTAGAGTAGAATGATGTCATCCTTAAATCTTAAGACATGTTGAACTGTCCCAACAGCAGCTTCTCAAATACAATGCAGTTGTGGGAAAGTCAGTCTTGCAGATCTTACTGTATCACACCCAATATCTGTTCTAGCCAACAAAAATTGAACAGGGTATAATGTTTGGGTGGGGGGACCTCAAGCTGGAGAGGCAATGTGAAACTGATACTATTGCACGTGCATCTTGTTTCTGGCTTAATTACAGTTTGTGATTCTCTTGGGAATTAAGGTGGAGAATAATAAAAATGCTGTGTGGAAGAAGTCAGTCTAGAGTGGGATTTGAGAAGAGTGAGACACTAGGTCACTCACAGGCACCTTGGAACAAATACTTGAGGCACCTGAGCAGGAAACAGTCATTTGTGGGAAGATTGAAGAGAGGTGTGGCAAAAGGCAGTAGAGTGGCAGAATTGTAAATAGCAAGGAAGCTGCTTAGATTTTGGAGGAGGTGGGAAAGAGTGTGTGGGTAAGAGTTCAGGGCCAATCAATGAAAAGGCTTTGGCCTTAAACTGGTGTTGAGAAATAACATACATGTCCATTGACAGAACCCATCCAGCAGCAGAAGGAAGAACATCCACGGCAAATTGGAGAGACTGACTCTGCTGATGTGGACAATACAGGATGCAAAAGAAAGAGTCTGTCGCTGCACAGTGTTAATTGTGGCAAGTCAGGTGTGCTGGATGACACATGTGTCATGAGGCCATCCACCAATGCACCCATAAAAACTGACTGCAAAGAGGAAGATACCAGGCAGTCAAAACAAGATGCACTTTGTGAGGAAGCTGATGGTGACCAGATGCTTCCAAAGAATACTAATGAAGAAAATATTTATATACTGGATGCCACAAAAGAAGGAAATGTGGGTCGTTTTCTAAATGTAAGTACTAAGTTGTTTGGGTTCTCTTTGTTGCTTTTGCAAATACATCATTTATTCATTTAACCTTAAACTAGAAATCTTTTGCACATAAACCATATATATAGTATGTGCATGAGAAGAGAGGCACATGTGGTGCTCTCTGCAATTACAGGTGACAGGACACTGACTGTTCATGCTCCCATAAGCTGATACATGCTATGTATCAGCTGCATATTTTGGCACCACAAGGTTACTGAGAGACATATTCCCCTGTAGTGAGTGACATAATTTTCTGATGGCCTTTTTTAGAGGTCCTGAGAACAAATAACACTTTTTTTTTGAGCCACAAGCCTTCTCCCAGCCTTGTTTTTTTGCTCCCCAGCCATTGCAAATTCTGTGCAAGTTTGTGCTGGTTTAGGACAGACGTTGTGCTATTGCATGAAACTTTCCTACTGTTCAATCATAGGTTCAGAAAGTGGTCTTTCATACTGTGTACATGTCTGTGAAAGAAATCTAATTTTGATTTGCCAAGAGATAAATAGTAATGAATTGCCAAATACCTCCAAGCTAAGGCAAATGATTCATAAACACATCTGCAGGTACTCTGCAAATAATTTATTTCTCTTCATTGGCATGAATATCCTACAGCAAAGACACATCTCTTTGTAGGTTGTAGTTGTTCTTCCTTGCAGAGATAATACAGTGTTAATATTAGTAGTGCATCTTGCAGAAACCTTTCTTCTGCACCCATAAGCATACACATGTTCCTTCATGCACCTGAGTGACCTTTCACATCTTGTACTTGGCCAACACACAGTAATTTAATCCTTTGCTTACTCCCTAGCACTGCTACCCTGGCAATGGCACTGGGCAATAAACATTCCTGTGGGCTGGAGAAGGGAAGAAAGAAACTACCTTTACTARTGACAAAATAGGATTTTCAGCCAACTACGTGCTGTTGGACTGTTTCTAATTCAGATTTTCTGTTTTACAGCACAGCTGCTGTCCAAATCTCTTTGCACAAAGTGTGTTTGTAGAAACTCACAACAGAAGTTTTCCATGGGTGGCATTCTTCACAAACAGGTGAATTTCTGGAAGTTTAATGTTCATTCAAGGCACTAGGGGAAAAACGCAGTGCTTAGTTATTAAGATATAATTTATGCTGAGGAGTGGAACAGTTATTTAGATCATGAAAGCACAAATCTACCTTCTTATTAGTGACTTCTTATTGTGTACTAAAGGATGCATTTATTTCCTTAGTCTGACAGAGAGGTACGTGAGACTGGCAGCAGCTAAACCCAGGAAAGGAAAGCTTAATTGTATGAATGAACTTAGTTGACCCACATGCCAGCATTAGTACTAAGTGAGAATAGAATAGATAGACTTTGTTCTGACAAACCAGTTTTGAGGAACGCTGATCTTCTGTGGAGCCTTGCAACTCTGCTCCGGACTGSCACAGATGCTGTGGATTACACTGGGAGGTTTCCAAGAACTGTGAAGATAATGTTTTGAAATGYGTCAGAAAAATAATTTGTTTCAGCTAGACTCTTCCTTGCTTAGGTTCTCAGTAACGAAGTCTGTAGTGGGGACTGAGGCCAGTGGAGAGAGGTAATAATGATCAGCAAAGACACTTAGAGAAGAAGATTGTTGAAGGAGTGTTCCCCTCACTGGCTCTCCCATTTTCTGGGCATCATCCTTTTACAACCTTTCTACATTAAGGACTTCATCTGGATCGTTGAGCTTAATTGTGTGCCTTCCATGAACCTGCTCAGTTACCTTTTTATTTGTTTTACATGTCTGGCCTCTAGAACATCTCAAGTCAGCAAGTTGCAGGTTTCAATTATGTGCKGTATGAAAAATCCTTATTGTTCTCTGTCTATTGCCTGGTAATTCACTGGATGTTCCCTATATCCTATCCAGTGAGAAACACCAGAGATTTACTCTCTTCTTTACAATATTTATATTTTATTACATTATTTATATTTTATTACATTTTCCATCCATTGTCCCTCAGTATCTTAGTCTCAGGTATTTAGTTTGGCATTCATTTTGGTCAATGAATTTCCTACCTTAGTCATTTCTTCTCTTGTACTGTCAGAGCAGCTGGTTCAAGAGGAACATGTATTAAATTCTGAGCCTTGKGTTTTGTGCACCTGGTGATATTGCATTAAAATGTAGCTTGTCAGACCAAAGATGATGGTCTTCAACAACATATCTAGAGATGTATTCAAATTTCAATGATGCACTGTACATAGTGGAAATAACAAAACTGTGTTATTCATTCAACCACTTACGTGGTTTTCCCTTTTTTTGTTTTTTTTGTGAGGTGATTTTTGGTGKTTTTTTTGTTTTCATTTTAGGGGCTTTGTTGGTTTGTTTGTTCTTTGCTTTGGTTTAGTTTTGTGTTTGGTTGGTTTTGGTGGATTTGGTGGTTGGTTTGGTGGTTTTTTTGTTTGTTTGTTTGATTGTTGTTTCCCAGAATTTCCCATTAAGTTAGAGCACATTGTTTAGACTCCAACCCTATTTGCAATCTCCACAGCTTTGGTAGGCAAAGCAGCATGACTGTGCCAGAGACTCCTTGTATCTCTTGTTTCTCTGCCAAAAAGCTTCCTGTGTGATGCTCACTGCCTCCTACAATTTTTGGGTTTGCATGTGTGTTGTTGGTGACTTGGTTCAAACAAATTTACTGTTTTATTTCTTAGACATGTGAAAGCTGGAAGCGAACTCACATGGGATTATGGTTATGAAGCTGGAAGCATGCCAGAGACAGAGATTTCCTGTCAGTGTGGAGTTCAGAAGTGCAGGAAAAAAACCTTATAGGCAAAGCTTTCCTACTGCCAACACATCTCGAACCTGGGGATTTATATGCTGGAAGGGGTCACTACTCAGTGAACAGCCTCTCAAGACCGTGGTGCTAATTGCATTCAATTAAAATGCCTTTCACCCGATGTTTTTAAATTTGCATTTAAATGCCACTTTTGTAGTTTACGTAATTAGAACTGTTTGTCCTAAGACATCAAACTTTTCCTAGATAATTTGTGTTCTCCTGGTCTTCCTCCTCCCTGCTTCTAATCTGCAAGTAAAGTTCACAGTGCAGTAGAAGAATTCATGCTTCATGCTATCTGCAGCAGAGACACGACTGATGAGAGCAATGGTTCCTTGGTGTTTTCTRTGCCCTTCCACAGTGCTGAGTTAGCAAAACTCAGGTTTCTGAAACTCATTATGAATGCAAGACTGCCTGTCTGAGCACTAAGAATTGTTAAAATATACTTAAACCTGATGGATCTGGTGGGACAGATAGCCTTGAACAGAGATGGAATTACACAGAACAGTTTTGCAGAGCTGTGTTTATGCTACAAAGTGAGCTGGACAAGTCCTGCTGCAACAAGAGAGAAATGACTGGGTTTTGTTGGTTGCATCCCTCTCCCTGTTTGTGACACAGAGAAATCCTGGAGAAATTCAGTGTACCTAATCTCAGTGCCATATTGCATATTGGAGGACAGGTGGGCCACAGAAGTCCTTACCACATGGTTTGTTGGTAAGAGAGAAACAAGCGGCGTTAGGAGACGTGGAGTGCAGATGCAGGAGATGGTGGGTGTGCAGGTGTGYGCCTTTTGAATGTGTTGGAGCCTGGGCAAGCAAGAAGGTGTCGCAGATGAGTGATTTAGATGCTTGAAGAACCACTGCCAAAGGTAAAAAAAAGAAAGTGGTTTTATTTAAAATAGTGTGAAAGTTTGAAGGCAGAGTTCACTCTGTTACTGCAGAGGACATTATAATGATTTGAAGTTACCGATACAAAATATAGTGCACTGTAATACAAGGTTATGTGTGACATTGGTCACCCATTAGAGACCTGCAGTTGGTCAGGGGTCTGTCAGCCTCGAGGAGTAACATTGAGAGGCATCCCYGTTCACGGGGAGATAACTGCCATACAGCCAGTTGCTTGGCATGAGAACTCAAAAAAAGGCTCCCTCAGGCTGTCATTTATGGAATAAAGTGGTTGGCTTGTAGTCAAATTACCTTTGTTGGAAAAAGGTAAACATGTGAGTCTTGTACCTGCACCTTTCTTTGTTCCTTGATGAATATGTCGTTTAAGAACCACCTGCTATTCATATGTTAATTGCTTGGTTGTTATCCCAGATTTCAAGCCCATATGCATCAGTGGTCACCATGTCACCCTGTTCCTGAGGGAATTTTCAGAGAAAAGGTTGGAACAAATGAAGGTCTTGGCCTGGTTATGTCCAAGCTTATGCTGCAAAATTAAAGAGAAGCAGGAACCAATTCTCAGCCCTGAGGCCACAAGGCAGTGTGTATTTTRTGCCCACATGGCTTAGGGCTCCTTTTTAATTGGATTGCATCTGTGCTGTCTGTTTGTGGACAACACAGTATCTGTGGCCCTAAGTGTTCTTGGTTTGTTTTTTTTTTTTTTAGTTTGGTTTGGATGCTTCAGGCTTAAAAAACATGGGTTTGTGCTGTAACACACGATGCTCTTGAATTTCTCAAGTCTCGGCATGCTTGAGGAGTTTCAGCCTGATACAAGTGGACCTTTAACAGACCTGTGAACCATTCTGCTTACAATGAAACCTCAGCTCCAGGGCTATTTGAGAGTTTGACACATCCATCAAGCAAGCCCCCTCTCGGCTTTTGTCCCAGTCATTGCACTTTGGGTTTGTGTGGGCTATCACCACCAGTCTTCAGGTACAAAAGCAGAACCAGTATTGTTGCAGAACTCTACAGAGGGTCAGAGCCACCCACTCTTGCCCTAGTAAGTCCCTCTATCACTGCAGCCCCTGTGTGAGCTGCAGACAGCACACAGCTCAGTTGTTTTTGGCTTCATTGAAGATCTGCCTCCACTCAAAGGGACAATGCCTTGGGATAACATCTTGCAGTGTTAACCAGTGACATGCCAAAGTGTATGACAAACCTACTGCTAACGCAAGCATGGTATAAGCCTTTTAAACAAGATAAAATGCAGAAAACACCTGTGTCTGTGCTTGACTTGAATGTGGAAAAGAAGATGGGAATGTTGTTAAAGCATCAGGGCAGGGGGGGAGGCACATTTTACTGCTGTTGATTGTATTTCCCAGATCAGTGATAGGAATTAATGATACTGGGCTGGTAAGGAAAAGCTCTGTTTCTTGATGCAGGAAAACAGACCTAATGTTTAAAAAAATGCGCCACCACACCTATGCATAAGCAAAATCATCTTACAAGGTGTGATTTCTGCCAGCTTCTGTAGTATCACTAGAACAGGTTCTGCTGCGTGTGTCTTGCAAGTATCCTCGGCAGGTAATGGCYGCAGGGGTGCTCACCTGAGCTTGCTCTCTGCTCTGCTGTCTTCCTCTGCTTGTCACAGCTCGCAGATGAGGTTATTTCTGAGCCACAGTCTCTCATGTCACCTGTGCTTTAGCAGAGCAGTGTGTTAAAGCACTAAGCACTTATGGAAAAACTCAAGATATTCCAAGTGAAGTACTCAAAAGCATCTGTGGAAAGACACATTCATCATCATCTCATCARCCTGTAGGGAGTATCAAAAACAAAGAGTGCATGATGGGATTAGTTGCATTGAGATGTGAATCATAGCTCTGGAGATGCCTTGAAGTCAATTACTACTGACGTGCAGAGGAGCATGGAATTTGCAACAGTGGATGAATAGAGGGGAACTTTGAAACCAATCTTGGCTCTTTCAGGGTACTACCTTGTTCCTATGGAATGGTGTCATCCAGCCATGCATTATGTGAGCAGGACAGTGAGCAAGATGATCCTAACAGAGGGATAGTAGGGATATGAGTATGTATAAGGGCCCCATGGAAATAAATATTAGTGCCCAAGACAAGCATACAAATGCAAAAACAGCTGAAGATCACTTACAGCATAGGTATAGAAGAAACTGGATTGGAGCAAATTAACTCATTAACTTTTTTTTGGTAAAAAAAAATCACAAAAAGCATAAATTTCTAGCTCTGTGTATTTCAGCCAAACTGTGTGGCTTGGTAGCAAGCCATAGCTTCCATAATTTGGAAGAAGAGATCGGAAGGGAGCTCTTTTTTTGGAGCTCATTTTCCTCCAGAGAGAATTTTTTTTCTGTTTTGAAGAACAGACCTCTGTTAGGAAGATTTTACTAGTTTAAGAGTTAGGCACTTGTGTGTGCTTGAATCAGGTTGACTTGTTTGAGCATCATCAAGGTAATAGATCTGGGAACTGGAATTGTGTGTTAGCATTTGGCTAATAGATATAATCTAATTTCAAGCCTGGACACAGGGGTTGATCTTAGCTCTGATATGCTGCATCTGGACAGGTGCAAAGGAATTTTGGAAACCAGCTGGAATGATGCCAGCAGCACTGAAAAGCCAAAGCTGATCTAGCTGGTAAAGGGAACTGATTTTAAGAGCTGCATGTTGTCTTTGGTGTGCCCTTCTGATGAACCAGAACATGGGTGGTGAGCTTGGTGGGGGAGATTCAAGCATGCCACATCCTGCACTTGGGTCACAACAGCCCCATACGGTGCTACAGACTGGGGGTAGAGTGTCTGGAAAATGGCCCAGCATTAAAGGACCTGGGAGTGCTGGTCAACAGCAGCTGAACATGAGCCAGCAGTGTGCCCACGACCAAGAAAGCCAATAGTATCCTGTATCAGCAATAGTGTGGTCAGCAGGACCAGGGCAGTGATTGCACCCCTGTACTCCATCTTTGTGAGGCCACACCTCAAATCCTGCGTTCAGTTTTTGGGCCCCTCAATTCAGGAAGGAATTGAGACCAGACACTGAGGTGGTGGASCATGTCCAGAGAAGGGCAGTGGAGCTGGGGAAGGGTCAGGAGCACAAATCCTATGAGGAGCAGTTGAGGGAGATCGTGGTGTTTASCCTGGAGAAAAGGAGGCTCATCTTAGCGCTCTGTACAACGACCTGAAATGAAGGTTTAGCCAGGACGGGGTCGGCCTCTTCTCCCCGGCAACAAGTGACAGGAAGCTGCACTAGGGGAGTTTCAGGTTGAACAGTATTTCTGTGATTCTGAGATAAGTGAACACGGGGCTGTGGGGGGAGGGGGGACACATGATAATCGCATTTCCCACGGTGAAAGCCCTCGGTAAATGCCCGCCCGATGCCGGCCCGCAGCAGTGCCTGGCGAAGATATCGAACCCAGGTATCCGCTTCTTCATTCCGGCACGCCCTCGTCACGTGACGGGTACCTCGGCGGCGTGCGTTCCCCGCAGCCAATCAGTGCCGTGCGGGTGCGCGGGGCTGAGCATCGGCGCGTGCCACAGCGCATGCTCCGTGCCCCGGCTGGGCACGCTCACTTTGGCGCGGGACAGTTGAGGGCGGGGGAGGGGGCGGCGGGAGTGACGGCTCAGGCGGGGCGGGCCGGGCCGCGAGCGGACGGTAAGTGCTACCGCGGGTATGCGGGGCGGGGGGAGCGGGGAGCGCGCGGGGTCGGCGCCTCCTCAGCGCTCGTCACACACCCCCGCTCTCCCCGCAGTGTCAGTGAATGGATCCTGCCGGGGCGCGGGCAGAGCGGAGGGGGCGAGCGGGGCCCGTGAGGCGGCACCGGGAGGCCCGATTAGGTATGGGGAAGAAATTCTTTRTTTGTGAGAGTGGTGAGGCACTGGCACACCCAGAAAAGCTGTGGATGTCTCATCCTTGGCGGTGTTCAAGGCCAGGTTGGATGGAGCTCTGAGCAACCCGGTCATGTGAAAGGTGCCCTGCCCACGGCTGGGGGGTTGGAACGAGACGGTCACAAGTGAAAGGTGATCAGAAACACAGCTCTGTTTGTTCTGGTTCCTTGCAAAATCTGAGTGTGTTTGTTCTGTAATGACTTGGGGAGGGTGGGGAGGGGAATGTAGTTGATGACCAGCCATAGTATCTCCAGCCGTACTTCTTTCCCCACAAAGCTCAAATGAGGGACGCGGTGAGAGCAGGGTGACAGCTGTGTGATTTCTTTCTTTCTTCCTACTTCCATAGATCCAATCCTGCACTGCGCTGGAAGGAAGAGGAGAGCAGAGCAGGAGCTGGGGCAGTGGGTTTCAATAGCATGCTGGAAGTCAGGGGACTTGGGTTCTTTTCATTACCCCTCTATGGATATGTAAATGAGATTCTGTGCCTTAGCTTCCTCCTGTGTAAAAAATGTATATTTATACGCAATAATGCTTTCAGGACTGGAGAGGAAGTACTTAGACAAACTGCTAATGTTTCAGCAAGATTGCAGAATTTTGAAGTGGTGCAAACCCTGTGCTCTTGCCAGCACCCTTCTTATCTCTTTTTACTTTCTGTTTCCTTTCCCATTTTCTTCCCTTTTGTCATTGTTGGGGAAAAAAAACCAAACCAAAACCAACAGACCTGCTTCTAGGAAATGCAGCGAGGTGCACTGGCTTTCCTTTCTCTCAGCTGCCACTCTGTCTTGTGTTTTGAAGCTTCATTTGCTCTGTCATGAGTGGAGGACACCAGAAGAGCCCCCAACTCTTACAACTGAATTAGTCCCCCTGGACTCCCAGTCTTCCCATGGTTGTGACAGTGGAAACGAAGGGTTGCAGAAAGACTTGCAAGGGATTGACTGTAAAACAGCAGGTTAAAATCCAGCATTGATAAGTGGAAGGTGATGGATCTGTCAGAGCAACAACCATAATGCTGATGCCATCCCTTCTTTCTGATGCCACTCAAGAAAGAGATCTGGGGATACTCTGTTGTATTGGTCTAGTTGACAGAGTGATGTTCGGTCATTGATTGGGCTTGAGGATCTCAGAGGTCTTTTCCAACCTAACTGATTCTGTGACAAATATGTGAGTCTTACTGAAAGGCATCCCTTCTGGCAGGGGGAGGACAGGAGGASAAACCCATGGCTATGTCCCTATGATTTTTGTGTCGAATTCTCACTCCCAACTGGGTACGAATCAGGGTATTTTTGTACCTTCTTTTGTTGTCACACACAGAATACCCAGGAGGTGTAGTTGGTGCAAAACATTCCTTKGTCAACAAGGGAAAGAACAAGAGCACACAGCTCCCACAGCCTCACATTCCTCCCCAAAGCCATGGCAGCACAAACCACAAGCCCTCTACCAGATTTCCATATCTGCTCTGATCACCATGGGCCTTATTGCATGTTAAGCTTTGTGTCTTCTTCATTGCTTTGTGCTTTCACTCATAGTTCTGTGAAAGTGTCAGCTTTGCTCTCAGAAGCAGTCTAAAATGGGATCAAAACAGTAGGAATTATTACGGATAAAAGAAAAATACAGAGTGATGGTGTGACTTTGTAGTGTAAGGAGTTGTAGTGTAGGGMGTTGTTTGCTCCCCTTTGAGTGAGGAGTAGATGAGGGATAGAGGGATGATAAGAACTGCAGACCAGCTTCTGTACAAAGAACAGCTAAATAGTTTCAGATTCCTCAAACTGAAAAAGAGACATTAGGAGAAATAGTAACAGAGCAATGCTGTCATGAGTACTACTGAAAGAGTGGAGTAAGGAGCCAGGACTTCTTGCCTTTTCAGACAGATCCAGGGGTGTCAACTGGAATTCCTGAGTGGCAGGCTTAAGCCCTGCAAAAGCAAGGCATTGTTCAGATGAAATGTAATTAAAGTGTGAAACTGGAAACCTACCCTTAGCCTCTCCCTTCTTGCGTAGGAGCAGCCAGCCAGATCCATTGCTCTGTTTAGCGCTGTATCCTCATTGGTAGTACTCTGTAGCAGAAAACTTAGGAAGAGCACATGCACGTGTGGGGGTCTGTTGGGTTTGCATGGCCAGATTTGGGTGGCAGGAGGGCTGCAGGGGCAGCTGCTGTGAGAAGCTGCCAGAAGCTTCCCCCATGTCTGGCAGAGACAGTGCCAGCTGATTCTAGGACAGACCCTCCTCTGGCCAAGGCTGGGCCCATCAGAAAGGATAGTGACAAGTCTGTTACACCGTGTTTAAAAAGGAAAGAAAAAAAAGTTTTTGGTCAGATAAAATTGTAGCCAGAGAAGAGTGGGGTCAGAATATGTGAGAGGAGCGACTGTACACACCAAGGTCAGTGCAGAAGGAGAGGCAGGAGGTGCTCCAGGAGCCAGAGCAGAGATTCCCCTGCAGCCCCTGGTGCAGACCGTGGTGAGGCAGTTRTGCCACGGCAGCCCATGGAGGACCGCAGGGATGCAGAGATCCACCTGCAGCCTGTGGAGGAAACCCACATCCGCTGSAGCAGGTGGATGCCTGAGAGGAKGCTGTGACCCCTTGGGAGGCCCATGCTGGAGCAGGGTTCTGGCAGGGACCTGCAGACCCATGGAGAAAGGAGCCCATGCTGGAGCAGGTTTCTTGGTAGGACTTGTGACCTTGTGTGGGGGGCYCATATTGGAGCAGACTGTGCCTGAAGGACTGCACCCCATTGGAGAGTGAACTGTGTGGGAGCAGTTCATGCAGAACTATTGTTCGTGGGATGGACTCAGGTCAGAGAAATTTGTGGAGAGCTGTCTCCTGTGGGAGGGACCCCACACTGGAGCAGGAGAAGGACTTTAYTCCCTGAGCATGTCAGGAACAAGTGATGAACTGACCATAATCCACATTCCCCATCTCCCTGTGCCTCTTGGGGGAAAGAGATGGAGTCTGGAAAGGAGGTAGGGGTGAAAGCGAGGTGGTTTTAAAATTTATTTTATTTCTCATTATCCTGCTCTGATTTTGTTAGTAATAAATTAAATTAGTTATCCCCAAACTGAGTCTGTTTTGCCTGGGATGGTATTTAGTGAGAGACCTCTCCCTGTCCTTATCTCAACCCATGAACCTTTGTTATATTTTCTTTCTCAGTCCACTTATGGAGTGGGAGTGATAGAGTGGCTTTAGGGGTGTGCCTGACATCTAGCCAGGGTCAACCCACTAAAGGGAGACAGGATATGGAGCTGAATGGGGCAGTGGGTACAGGCTGGCTGCTTCTGCACAGAGGAATCYACTGCTTCAGGATTTCTACAAATGTGCTGGAGTAACCCTGAGGCTGAACTTGACCAAGTATCTTCTCTTCTTCATCAGCACCAGGATTTCTCTGGAGCCTGTAAGRGTACTGGGAACTGTAGACTCCACCTTCAGGCCCTTCCTTCCAAAATTCCTTGAGCTGAGTCCTCTGACAGGGCCTCAGCAGGGTCTATGTGTCTGCATCAGTTCCAGGTATTGGCTTGCTGCAGAGAGCTTTCCCAGTATTTTAGACCATTCAAACTCTTAAGTTCATTTTACTTTTTAATTTCTTTCTGTTTGTTTTTTTTTTTTTCCTATTCCTAATAGGTCTTTGTATTTCTGTTTGTTTCTGTCATATTTATTTAATGGTCAAATTCTGAGACTGATACGATGGTCACTGTGTATATGGATATTGGAAATCAGTTTCTATCCTGCCTTGCTTGCAAGACATAGAAGGGCAGAGGGGAAAAAACCTCTAGATGTGTGCAAAGGCTTAGTGACTTGTGATTAAATAAATTATCAGTAGCATGAGCCAAAGGGGAGAAATCATATAAAAATCCCCTTCTGCTCTGGTGATGTTTTCACATGGGGCTACTCAGTCTGTTTTGTGCAAGGGAGAGGGGAACTTAATGAAAACAGTTTGTTGGAAGCCAGAAAAAGGTTGCAGAATTTGCTGGACTATGAGATTTCCTGCATGTTTTGTACTTAGACCTTACTACCTCTCACTAGAATAATTTAACTCCTGATCTTATTTCTTGAAAATAAACGCAGATTTTTCTTCCCCCTTGTACAGGAGTTTGTGCTGTCAGAGGTGACGTCTCCAGCAGAGGATAGTTTGGAGTATCACACCTTGTAGGAGTGGGAAGTTGTTGAAGATTTCTGCTGTGGAYTTGCACAAAAACCACAGACCAAGTAAAACTTCTGCTGTGAATGTTGTGGAGTGATGCTCTAAACTGTTAGTGGGGGATGTGTGTAAAGGCTTGTCCAGAAACACTTCAGACTATTTTGTGAAATAAGAGCTGGCCTCAAAATTTTGCAGCTGCTGGAGGATAAAGACTGTGAAGAACAATTACGACTTGGGTAGATATGGCAAGAAAAAGATAACAAGTGTCCCTGGGGCAAATTTCAGGGCTAAGGGAAAATTCTGTATCAGTCCTATTAGKGCTTCACTTTGTTGAGAGAGAATGTTTGAATCTCTCATAATTTGTTCTTCTGCCCCAATTTACTTGCAGGCCTCTCCACAYTACTTTGCATCCTTCTTCTTCCTTGTTTTCTGTGAACTCCTGGAAGGCACTGGCAAAGCTTGGGACAGCTGTTTTTCTCTCCTTTGTTGACTTGCAGAGCCACATGTAGCAGCAGTAGCTTGAGGAAACACTGCCATAATGATTGCCCTCCTCCAAAAAAAAGGAATTTCACACCTTAGGACATGACTTGCTGGACTGCTCTTGGATCTGTTGTTGGAGCAGATATTGTCAAGCAAGCTTGAACACTCCTGTGTTAYTCCTTATGACTTGAGTGACTTTCCAAGGGGAGATAAACCACTCTCTCTGCTCTAATCATTGGAGCACTTGGGATCTGTCCCACTGCTGTGCCAAGAGTGGGCTTTCCTATTCTGCTGGTATTGTTACTGGAGGAGCAAAGCACCAAGGTTCAGGGGACATAGGTGAAGGAGCAGTTAGAGGGCAAGTGTTGGCAGGGTCTGTGTTTCTCTGTCCTGCCTGGTCTGTGGTAGTTGTGAATTGCTTTGTGTTTTGTTCCAGTTTTCCTKCTCTAGGTGCTTTCTGGATAATGGCGAAGATGGTGAGAAGAACATGTGCATTTTGTTCAGAAGGGGAGGCTGGCTCGGTAATGTATGTCGCCACAGAGGGAGATATTGCAGCTCATCGAGATTGTCTGGTGAGTGCCTTTAGTTTGTTGGTACTGTAGAGGAATGGAGAAGAAGGGATAAGAGGGAAGTTTCCATTGCTTGTCTGTTTTTGACTTTGTAGTGATGTCTGAATTGAAAGGCTGCTTACTCAAACCAGCACCTTTATATTAGATCGAAAAGCTATGAAAAGCCACAGGGCTTGACCAGGATCTTGGAGTGGGAGAGGACATGTCTGCACAGCTGGAGCTGTTGATTTGTGGTATTTTCATGTGTACCTTTTGCTGATCAGTGGTCCTAGATGCACATACAGCCTAGCAATATGAACAGGTCTTCTCGAGACACTAAACTGGATGAGGCTTCTCAGACCACWGAAAGTTGTGTACTTAAACCTTTGCAGGAAAATATCTACATCAATTGATATATAATGGTTAAAAAACTTTCCAGTCTGTGCCTTATTTAAAATCAGGAATAAAACCATCAAAAGTTGATTATATAAAAATATCTGTGAAGCTGTAAGCATGCTGCAGTCTTTCTACTCTTTTTGCCTCCCCTTTATTCTGGAATCTTGGTGGATCTGGTCCTTCGTGTGCAGAATCAATTACAGCTGCTGTATTCTCCCTTCAGCAGAGGGGGAATATAGCTGAGGGTCATTTAGAGCGGAAGATTGCTGCTAGTCAGCTTTCTGATTGTCACTGTTCCAGCCTTCTTATTCTCGCAATTTTTATGTGTGCATCTTTATTTTTCCAATACCTTTTTTTGATTGGTTATTTTTTTATCGTAATGTTTCGCAAACATTTGATACCTTTTACAGCATTCCTTGGATGTTTTGTTTGAAACAAGTTTCATTAAGGCTTTAATGTAGCTCCAATGTTAATTTTTTTTCTCTCTTTTATTTTTCTTTTCTTTTTTTTTTTTTCCTTTATCCTTCCAGCAACTTTATTCATTTCTCTGCCTTAGGTTTCTTTGCGCTGTTTGGGTTTTGTCTTCTGAGCAGACAAACTGTGCCTGTCAGTTGATGAAAGGGTAGCTCCCTTTTGTTTGGAATGAGCTACGTATAATGCTCAGGAAGTAGTTGCCAAGAACTTCCCCTTCCTCACTCATTGTCATGGCTTAGCTGCTCTGTGGGAATTCAAGTGGCCTGAGTGTTCATGTATACATTTTTTGTGGGTTTCTTCCTGGATGCGTACAATGTTTCTGTTYTTCTTCTGCAGTCAACTGTTGTCAGCCCTGGGCTATATGGAAATCTTATTACAGAGAAAAGTTGCCTCCAGCTGTAGGTCTGAACAACTAAGTGCATAACAAGCTGTCCAAGGTGTGGAAATCTGTTGTCTGAAGAGCTTCTCATCTTTACTCTGGACACCCTGGAATTTCCGATTTTCTTCATTCATGTTTYTTAATAAGTTAACATTCTCACCTTATTATCTTTCCTTAGCTTGCCTTCAAGTTACGTGAGATCTCCTGTGTAGAAGGAGGAACTTCTTTTGACTGCAGAAATATTTAAGCACAGCTTAAATATTCTGTGTAGCTTAAATGTTCAGTGTASGTGAAACCTCTTAGTGCAGAGATAAATCAACCTCCTTCGGCAGGGCAAGTGGAAGAAGAAAAAATGTGCTCCTCGTCTTTTCTGGTGACTGTGTCACTCTTATTTCTTCAAATTGTCTCTTTTGTCTTTAGTTATTTTCCTCAGGATTTGTGGAATCTGAAGATCATAACCCAGAAAACCTGGAAATAAGGTTTGATGTGGCATCAGTGTTGAAAGAGCTCAGGAGAGGAAAGCGGCTGGTAAGGGGATGTTTCTCAATCTGCTGTTAGTCCTGTCTTGTAGTATTGAAGGTTGTTTGGCCTGTTCTGAACTTTAAAAAAATGCAGTGAAGTAGCCAGTCCTTCTGATCTACTAAGATTWGGGAAATTACAGATTTAGTGTTAGTCGTTGACTTGATGTTTGATGTGGTGAAATTTAGTTCATTCTCTATTAAAATGCAGGTGGGTTTTTTCTAGCCTTTATGTCCTTAGTCAAAGTTTCATGAGATTTGGTAAAGAACTAAGCCAATGTCTGAAACAAAAGAATGCAATCCATAATTGTAAAGGGAAATACCTTCTGACTTTAGTAGAAGTAAAGTTATTTATATGAGGGTTTTTTTCAATTGCCTTTGTCTTCAGCTGCACTCCTCCCCTACATCCTGGGGAGGAGTTATGAAGTTAGCTTAAAAAACATAAATACAAACACTAAKACAAATTAATATTGACACGATTTGGGAAAGTTGCGTAGTGCCCTCCACGTGGCTCTTTGTCTCATTTCACAAATTAATCAGTATGAAATAGAGGTAAGATAGCAAAATGGTGGCTGAAATCATGACATATAGGTAGGAGTTTGCTGGAGTGAAATTGCCTGATRAATTACACAGAGATGACTTGCAATGAAATACCGGGATGGCATTTGCCTTGTCTGGCAGGATTTGGAGTAGCTGCCTGTGATGTTTACCTGGTGAACCCCCTCCTGTTGTAGGTGTGCAACTTCTGCCGCAAGAAGGGGGCCACGGTGGGCTGTGAGGAGCGCGCATGCCGCAGGAGCTACCACTTYTTCTGCGCTCTCTGTGACGACGCAGCCGTGGAAACGGACCAAGTCAACGGGGTCTACCGGTACCTCACCAAAAGTCTTCTGTTATTGCCAGCATCTGGGGGGTGTCAGCAAGAGGGACTTCATTGTGTGGGTTTTAAAGGGTTTTTAGGGAAGGAAATWAGTTATCCTCTCTTAAAGTGATGCTTGATCCTCTGTGGGAGAAGTGTTTTCATTTCACAGGAAAACTTCACTGCAGTGGGAGGGAATCTTTGGTATTTGAGTCTGTAACATACCTGGAAGATTACTAGGCCAAAACTGAGGAAGTCAGTCCTGCCTCTCTAGCTAATCTTCAAGGATCAAGATTTTTATTAATGTCATTCAAATTCCTAGTATTTGCTTGATTCAGAAGCTTCAATAAATGCRTTCTGAGCACAAAGCAGGTTCTAGCACGTCTAGGTCTGCTCACATTAGGCAAATTCGGGTAAATTTTCCCTCCTATGCTAGCAAAGAACTTTGGTTCCCACCAAAGACCTTGTATTTCAAGTATGTTGCTAGCATTAATACAAATGGATTCTTAGTAAATTTTCTGTCCTGATTATGGTAGTCCTGGTGTTCATTGCCCTTGGGCTGCCTTCATTGCCTTGACAGATGGAACAAGTTGTTTGGAGGATACAGATGAAGRGGTTTCAGGGACCTTTTGAAATGGTGAAGTTATAGTGAAGTCTAAGATGCAGAAAAGCTCTGATCTCATTTCTGTGCAAGGCCAGGAGATCACAGGCCATGTTAATCTTAGATTAATTTGGGGATCATCTAATCACTACTTGTTTCAGAAAAGGGTGGACTAGTGCAGTCCTTGGTAGCAGTGGAAGATGGGTGCTTTTCTGTCAAGATGTGCCCTCCTGGCTGGTTCACCCGTGCTCTCCATCTGAAATGAATGCATCTCTGCAAGGCTGTAAGCCCAGCTGTACAGGGAGGATGGGATATTTAGTTGATGCTTGTAAAATCTTTGGGTATCTGCAAAGCTCCTGAAAGAGTGCAGCTGGGAAGATGGAAACTTTCTATGATCACAGGATAAATGGCTTTCATCTTATACCCTTGGAATGGATAACTCAGGCTCAAGAAGACTTGAACTCAAGATGTTGAAAAATAAGTGGGCCTGGCTGCAGTCTAGATACAAACTTGTAAAGAAGTGATTGCATATACAATTTGGTTTGGTGGTTTTGTGGAGCTAGTGACTCTTGAGATTTGGAAGAGGGACCTGTAAAAATGCCTTGTTTTAAGTCACTGTGTGGCACTAGTAGCCTAGGAAACTAGTYTATAGCAACTTATACTGAAGAGCTAGGAAAGGACTGGATTAGGGAAAGGTAGCAGGACAGCTTTCAAGAATTTGAACCTAAAGACTTCTGCACAGTAGCAGTGGCATAAATAAAGCAAAAAAAGCTAGTCTGAAATTATTGGAGAGTAGACTTGAAAAGCAGTGGAGGTGGATGACTGCCCCTGCACATTTTTGTGGTGAAATACAACATACTGAAAAGCACATCCAGAGAGAGAATTCCTTCAAGAGAGGCAGAGCTGGTGTTTTTAAATTCTGAGTTGCCATCGTTGTGATGATGAGTAGTGATCATCAAAACAAATAGAGCAGAATAAAAAGAGAAAGCATACACTGCTGTGGAAGTGGCCAGTAAGAGTAGAGGTGAAGAAGTAAGTGCAATTTGTACTGCTGTCTTGCAAAAATGACAGTGGGGAAGTGCTTCCAAATAAAGTGGCCTGAGTAATCAAATATATTGTCTGTTCCGTATATGATATTCTTGTGCTTAGGATGGGCTGTTTTTAACTGGGAAAGACTAGAATTAAAGGGAGGGGAAGAACAAAAAACATTCTGCAAAGGGCAGTATAGAAATTTAGGGATGTAAATAAGGTATCTCCATTACTTAGCTTTCTGATTGCATTGTTAGGCCTACCTAAATCTGATTTTTTGTGTATCAAGATGCATTTTATGCAAAAAAAGTTTGGCTCATCAAGGAGGCATACTGCATTTCTAAGGGAAGTGCTTCTATTTTTGTTAAAATGAAAGAATGACAATGATTAGAAAATGTCCTAGTAATGCAGTTCCCTTTAACAATTGCTTTCAAATACTTGAGCAGTAGTCTTTGCAAATAGATTTGTAAGGAAGAGATCGACTAAACCAATGCTCCTGACAAGGCATTTTTGCTTAAAAAGTGACTTGGGATCCTTCTGTAAGAAAGGCATATTGTAAAGGTGGTTCGTGTTTTCTACACATTATTGTATCCAGAAGATAAGGAACCTTTCCTGATAAATTTGTTGCATTTCCCCTCTTCCAAGGAATTCCTCTCCTAGAAGCAGTGAAAATATTCCCATGTCGTATGTACTGAAGTCTTTAAGGAACTAATGGCCTGGAACTCACATATGGTGCCCTMCTTGCTTTGGGGACCATCCATGAGCAAGCACATGGCAGTGGGAGGGAAGGGCACAAAGATCTCCAGCCCCGTGACTGGTACTGTGTGTGATGGTGTCTAGTGGCTCTGCCCCAGTGCATCCTGCAGGGCTGAGAAATTGAAGGTGACTGGTGAGCAGATGTGTCTGAGGARGTTGCTGGCCGGCGTGGGGCAGGGTGAGGGGGCAGCAGCTATGGTCAAGCAGTGTCAGTATTGTGGCATTTCACCTTGGGATTGTTAATCTCATTTCAGTAACTGTCTCTGACACAAGATCGCCACACCACATGAAATGTGTCTGGCTCAGAGTCAGAACACTGGGCAGGCTCAAACACAGTGAACTGCTGAAACTGATCATTCAGAGCTGAGAGTCCACTGAGGCTCTAAAAGTACAGATACAAGCTTGTGTGTACATGTGACTTTAAAGCAGGTGCTTTCTGAGGTGGGCAATACTGAACAAAAATCCTGACTTTTTAAAACTACCTTTCAGTTAATGTTCAGTGAAAAGAGGGGAAAATACATTTTAAAATCAGTCAACATAACACTGCATATTTATTAATACTTTTTCTCTTTCTCTTGAAATTGAACTTAAATTTTAGAGTGTTCTGCTCAAAACATGACCCAGGGAATAGGACCAATAACTATGGTGAGTTTCTTTAATGACTTCATTAATTTGTTTTAAAAGTTTGCATCCTAGAGTCAGTCATTCATTTGAATGTCATATCTTCATATTGAAGATAAATATTACCACCTTCATGTTGAGTGGTGGATTTCTAATCTTGCAGGAATGGTTTGGTGAAGATCTACATATATGCACAGAAATCAAGAAGGTTTTTTGAAGTAGGAAAAGCTTAAATTTAATCCTCCCCAAATCTCCCTGAAAACCCAAACTACCATGGACCCAATCCTTCTTGGAACTATTCTTACTCTCTTGGGGTAGGTAGGCCCAAGCAGCTTGTAAAATCCATGTGAGACAGGACAGCCCCACACAAGTTTGCACTTGGTTAGCAAGGAGAGGGCTGTTACAGGACAAGTCACCTTGGGGTTTTATCTGTAGTTATGCAGACATTACATTTGCATCTTCTGTATTCCGTGCAGTAGTTTTTAAAATAGGGCCTTTCATCCTGAAGGATCCCAAAGAGCTTTTTAATTGTAACAAAGGGGTTATGCACCCCCTGTTCAAAAATAGCTTCCTGTGCTACGGAAATGCAGCTTCATTTGGCAGCTGTGGTCCTTGTTGATTCAAAAGTATTTCAGTAATCACTGAATTAACCAATCAAAGTTGGATTTTGTTAGCTTAATGCATACATCTGTTCACAGTGAAGTGGGTCCTAGACTGACCTTTACTTTCAAGTTAAGCTCAGTTGAACTGTGAGCACTTAGGCTGATAGTGATGTGCACCCACTGCAGTCTAGCAAATTTTGGCTAATTCTTCTTGACAGAGTCTTGCTCCACCCTGATGACACTTAAGTGGTGAATTAGGTGATTATTTAAGATTTTAATCATGAGGATTGGGGCTTCATGATTTTAGTCATGAGGTCTGCTTTTTTGCTGTGGTTCACTAACCAAATGCATCCTCTTAGCTTACTTAGTAGCTTTCCTTTTTACTTATCCATAGTTCTGAGTCCTGACCTCCCTTCCCTTTTAAAAATTAATTTGATTTCTGTGGTTTAATGGTTGTCAGTCTGTTGGGTCTGCCCAGGGTCCAACGTGTCTCCTGCCCAAGTACTGAAGAGGACCAGGATTGCTTTGTTTCCAGTATGAGATGATATTAAGGCATTGTTCGTAAGGAGGGCTTAAATCTTACGAGGCTGAATTACAGAGTGGTTTCGGTTGGAAGGGACTTTGAAGATGATATAGTTCCACCCCCCTTGCCTGGGCAGGGACACCTTCCACTCRACCAGGTTCCCAAAGTTTCCCTGTCCCACCTGGTGAAGATCACTTTCTCAGAAGGGACATCTGTAACTTCTTTGGACAAACTGTTCTACAGCGTCACCACCCTCACAATAGAGGATTTCTTCCTAATATCTAACCTAAGCCTGTTGTTCAGTCTGAAGCCATCTCCCTTTGTCCTGTTACTACATGCTCTGGTCATTTTCTGGCTTTCTTGTAGTCTTCTCTCGGTACTGGATGGTTTCCTTGTCTTCAATGTTGCATATACAATGTTCCCTGAGAAGAGAGTTTTCCCCTAGAGGAGTTCTTCCAGAGGCACTTAATTTAGAGACCCTCTTGTTATGAGGGGTAAATGGATTCTGCTGGCAGTGTCTGCCTTGGCTCCCGAATGAGCTTCTCTTGCCTCCTGGGAGTAGCTGTACCCTGGGAAATGGGGAGCAGCTGAGAGAGTTGGTTAAAAGACATTCAATTCCCTAAGCCCAATGTCTCTTGCTTCTTAGTAGCTCTTGGATGCACAGGTGGCACTTGGAATAGCCAGGGGTATCAGCTGGTGAGGAGGCTGAAGGACAGGTACTCTTGTCTTCCCCACTCCTGGGCTGTCTGGGCAGGCAGGGGACACTGCAGGTGTCTGCAGCTCCACACAAGGCAGGGACTGAGGCAGGCTTGAATGGAAGTGCTGTGGCTACAGAGTAGTTTTGACTTTCAGTATCCAGCGTGGATGAAGTGACATAGTTGTTCCTCTGGGTCAGGCTGAGCCGTGCTGGTTGTATGGGAGCAGGAGCTGCCTCTCCAGGACTGTTTTCCCCAGTAGTTTGGAGAAAATGGGGTCAAGGAAGATCCCCTTGTTCTTGGTACATACAATATTCTTGTGCTGTCATTGAAATGTCATTGCTCTGCTGTGTGATTGGAACGGCACAAGGTGCCTTAGAGGTCAAGAATTCTGCTTGCAGCTCTGTGCAGTAAGGATGGGAGAGCAGCTTGGACTTGGAAACAGGCTCCAACCTCTTCTAAAGGGAAAAGTTGGGTGGACAGAGTGAAGGCTGACAAATACAGGAGGGCAGCAAACACAGGGCAGGGTGGGAGGAGTTGGGCTGCTCTTCAGATTGTGCCCTTGTATAAGGCATTGTTAAAGCAAATATCACGAAGAGCTGAGAAAACCCCATCACATGTCAAAGATAGCATGCTGCACTTTGTACCAGCAAGGAACACTTTGTACCTATAGCAGTGTCTCCTGGACTGCCCCAGATTAGGCCTTACTGGTTTATTTTGTATTAAATGAGAGATTAATTTTCTTTCAGGCCATGAAAAATGCAAATGTATRGCACCAGTGCCCAAAGCCGAACCTTATTTCAACAGCCTTCTTGTACAACAGTGGCTCTTCATTCCTCTTGACAGGATAATTTCTAACAGGAAAGGCCTAAGTGCTGACCAAAGGTTCTGGAGTTAAACAGGGAAGGGAACATACAACCCCACTGTACTTTAAACATTCAGGTTTTGGTGGATGGCTGGACTCTGCTCCTGCCGTGTCTTCCTTGCCAGAGTTACCCTTCTCTGCTTGTGATGCTGTAGCTGTTTCCAAAAACTGCCATGATGGTGGYAAGAGGCTGATGCATGCTGATGGAAAGAACACATTGAAAGCAGATAATTTTTCAGAGATCTTGGATCACATCATTAAAAATACTTTGTAGGTTAAATAATATTAAACTGACAAGTCAAATGGCCTCTGGAGTTTTTTAAGGACGGTCCTTCTAATGATGAAAAACCTAATGCCATTTGTATGTCTCTTAGACACCTAAAATTATGCTTAATATAGTCTTAGTTTTGAGGGTATATTAGCATAAATAAGAATTGTTTGCAAAAGAAATCAAACGATTTTTACCACCTAGACATAGTGYGGCTGCCAGGAGGAATAAATTCACTCTTCCACAATTAAAAATCTACTGAGTTTAAAAGATTAAATTATATCCTAATGCTACAGTAATTTGCACTTTTTCCTATTGGTTTGCATTTGTAATTTTCTTAAATGGAAAAAAAAYGTGAATTCTGCTGAAATATCAGGTGTTTGGGGAAGCTGAAACATACTCTTGCCTTGCTACCCAAAAGGTCTCACTTGTGTAGCTTTTCAGGAAAAGAAGGAATTTGAATTATGTGTGATGGTCCATCTGAGGTTGTTAATTTTGTTACTTTGTTTCTTCATTCCTAGATGGAGCTAACAAAAAAAGAAGGTATACATTGCCATCTCCTACCATCACAGAAGAAATGGTAATTCTGCATTTTGTTCTAAAACAGGGGACCCACATCTGCTACAGCAAAGGACTCATTTATTGAATTATTCAGACARTGTTCAGAAAGAGCCTTCCTCCCAGAAGCAGCTTACTTGTCCTTTACAGCCGCCTTGTTTGGATCTTGCCATTCAGTCAAACTAAACCTGTTTGCACTTGGAGCTGCTGCAGGCAGAGCCAGCGCTGCCCTCRGCTAATGCAGCACAAGGCAGCAGGAACATCCAAACCAGGCTGACCTGGTGGCTGTGATCTTGGCATGAACAGAAAGAGCTCCCCTTTGGGACTGGTTTTCTTTGGAAGTACTGCACCCCTCATATTTGCTTAGGGCTTGACATGAAACTTCCAGGTTTCCATGAARCACTGCTTTTGATGAGTCCCCTGGCTTTTTAAACCTTCACTTTCTTGTTTGTGAGCCTGCTCATGGTAAATGTGACAGACTTTCATTGCAGATCAGACAGTTCTTGGCTCTGCTGATGAAGGTGGCCTTCCCTTGGGTCTGGAGCTATCAAACATCCTGCTGGTTGCAGGGACAATTGTTTTACAGGCTGTTGTTAGAAAACCTGTAAATACAGTTTATTTTAAATTTCGAGGTGGCTCTACAGAAGCATGCATGGGAATTTCCTTTGATATTTGGAGGGGTTGGGATTTCTCTTTCCTACAGGAATTGGCATCCAGTTTTCCTTGGGGAAAAAAAAATCTGCCTTTCCCAGGTCTTGAGATTAAAGGGAGGTCACATGAGGGGATGTGAATGACCTYTGCATGTTTTACGTTGTACTGTCATAAGGGCGTGGTATTTGTCTCACAGAATTTGTCAGCGGTAAATACAAGTACAGTCCTGGTATTGTAACTGAAATTCATTTGAACACTTACCCAGAGTATTGTTCTGTTCCTGATGCTCTCCCATGGCAGCAATCTCAGAAACCAATACAAACACTATAAATAAAAAGCTGAGGGGCTCCAGGATTTATCGTTGTGGAATAAATTGTTTACCATTGTGTAAGCARTGCATTTTCACTCTGGTGGAATTCTGTGACAGAGCTTCAGAATTACTTGTAGTGCTGTGGTATGACATGGAACACGAGGGAATGGTTGCATCCTGTCAAAAAAAAAATAAAAATACCTGCCCCCTTTTGCCCCAAATCCTTCCTAATATTACATCAGGTCTAGGGAACTAAACGTCATTTGCCCTGGGAGTTCCCAGTAGGCATTTGTTAACTTCTCTGCTATTTACAAATGCAGTGAATAAGGAGGGTGATGTCCCAAATGCTGGGTTTTTCTTAAAGCATTTTTGCATTGAARCAGTTTTTGCTTCCATTTTCAAAATGGGGCTTCTGTAGAGGAATATTGTTATCCATGCAGAGAAGTTGACTGTATTCACAGAATTGTGGACTGCTTTTTCTCTCTCTGCTAGGACAGAAGTATGATATTAAGAATGGCAGTAAAAGTCAGCATGATGTAAAAATACATTGTTTTTATTTTCTTAGAGTACAGAAGAGACAGCAGAAGAAAATGATTTACGAATACTTAAAAGAAAAAACAACAGGCATAAAGGTGAGACTCACTTTTGATACCAAAAGGGTTGGTTCAGTTTTTATTATGCCTGTGAAACTTTCCACAGAGAAAAAAGGCATGCAAACACTGGTCCTCCAGCAAGGATAGTGGGAACATAAGAAGATTTCTGGCTCAATGCAGTGGTAGAGGAAACAATGTACAAGTGAGCATGGGGTGGGCTTTATGGTAATGGCAAAATTGTAATATTTATACAGCGAGTGTGTATAAGCAACACATTTGTAGAATCACATGTCCATGTAAGGTTAGGAGTATACCCCACTGGACCTCAGGCCTGGATAGATGATGCCCTCTTTAACAGAACTTTAGTGTTAAGGAGCCTTTTTTTGATATTTTGGACATTTGGTAACAACTTCATGGAGCAACGAACAGGTTCTGTGATGGGTTATTTTGAAGTACAGAGCTTGGAAATGGCTGGTAGCACACGCTGTGCTGCGCATATATCTTTATAATTCTCCTGAGAGGAGTGGCTCTCCAAGCTCTGGTGTGGCAGCAGAAGTCTGATTTGCAGGGTGTGCAGGTTTTAATAACTGTGCAGCCTGTGGTTTGGCTGAGTGGGACCTGCTGTGTGATGTGAGCTGGTGATTCAGGTGGGAATGTTCCCACTCTGGCTGGCTGCTGCATTCAACTCTGTCTCCTGCAAGCAGGGGTGCCTCTGCCTGATGCCCCTTCTCCGTATCAGTTACAGTTAAATTTAAAAGGGAATCAGTCCTCCTTCACCCTCGGTCTCCTTGTGCTGAGCCCCTCTTGCAGGAGAGGGGTGCAGTCCTACCTGGAGGAGATGCTCTGAGGAGGGGGCAGCACATCTTATCTTTTTAAGCCTGGAAGTACAGAGGGTACTTTACACAATGTAGTGTTCTAGTGCATAAATATGGTATTACAACAGTGCGATGGATTGTAAGACCTATCCTTCAGTGCTGCAATTTTCATGTTACCCTGCTGCAGTTGCTTTTTGGGGCTCAAATGTCACTTGGAAGTTTGGAAGGCACTAATGGTGTTTATTCACCTCTCTATGGACATTGTTTAGTCTATGGGCATAGTAGTGTGTCTGCCTAGTGTTTTTTTTCTAAATTTCGCTACCACTGTAAAGAACAGGAAAGCTATAAAGAATTGCGAAATACTCCTAGAACATCTCATGTAAATGAGATGGCATTTCTTTCCTCATAAATGTCTCCAGTAAAATGTTACAGTTTTTAATGGAGACTGGCAGACTCCTGTGAGCTGTCCAATACCTCTTCCCTTTTGAATAGCCRACTACATTGATCTTGCTAAAACTTGTCACTGACCTGCTGCTCTGAGATGAAGAAAAATGGTTATTTCCCTATCAATCTAAATCTGGAAAAGTAGGTCTATAAAATGGGCTGTAATCAGTTTAGTTGCTTGGATCACTTGGAGTAAAAGTAGCTTCAATTTTTACCAAATCCAACACTGTTTTATTTTTTACACTATTTTCTGTCCTTTAGCCTGCTTGGTCTGTGGTGTGGTCCTAAGGATTCATGGAAAAGGAAGCAAGACAAATCACTTGTTTTCCTGTATTAGGGGGTATCATGAGGCTTTAGGAATGGCACATTTAGAGTTGTGGAGCTGTTTGCTTTTGATAAATGAAGCCAAATCTAGAACTTAGGGAATTTTACACCCAGCACAGTGCTTACATTTGCCTGATGACTTTTTCCTTCCCACTGAAAAGGACTGTGTTGGTGGCTGGAGGAGCCAGAGATTTTCAGAAGTATTTGTTACTGGAGGAAGGGCTTTGGCCAAAATTTTAATTTTTGGTGAGAGGGAGCAAAACCTACTTTACAGATGAGATCTGTATGAAAGTGGTTTTGTGTTTTAACAGTTCAAATAGACTTTGTTAGGAAGTGTAAACAAGCTGGGCTTCTGGATGACATATTCGAAGAAATGCTGGACACACTTCACCTGGCACAGGAAAAACTGATGGATGACAACACTTCAGAAACAGGTATGTTTCTGGGAGACACGTGGGGACTTTGCTGTCAGCGCAGGGGTGCGGATCTGAATCCCAGGCATTTTGCCCTGGGCCACCTTCCTGATGATACTATGGTGCTGAATAACTCCGCCTTGTCTTATTTCTGTAGCTGTGTAGGAGGTTGAGAATGACCTTCCCTTTTAAATGACCGTTAAAATGGAAGTTCCAAGGAACTTCTTAAAATTACGTAAGAGCTGCCAACTCAGCATCTCTAGTGAGACTTTCTGATTTGAATTTTTGAAGCCACCTTTTACCTGTTGACATAAGCAWAGGAGTTTCAGTCCAGCCTCTTCTTCCAGATACTGAAGAACAGAGAGGTCCTGAAGAGAACCAGGTTTTATTTAGGTCATAAATCTGTGTTGCTCTTGCAGCTTCACAGAGGGATCAGCTGTCTGTTAATATCAGCACACTCTTCCGAGTGGAAATCCCTAAATATGTACATTTTAAGACTTTGGATGCTTTGTTACAACTGTACTGTCAGCTGTTAGTGTCTGTTTGGGGCTTTTATTGGTTTATCAGCTTGTATGAAGCACTTAGTTGTTGAAGAATTCCAATCTAATGTTGCTCTGTCCACCATACAGTTTAAAAAAAAATTGGAACCTCCCTCTCCAGTTATCCTCTGAGTTTTATAAAGTTAGGAGTAATACCTTTGCATGAAGAACACTATTTCATGCAAAGTAACTGAAGCATGTGCATGGGAAGTGAATATCCCACCTGGGTAAGTCTTCCTCATGAGCAGTTGTGCGTTAATGGTCAGTTGAACTCTGTTTTGCTTCACCAGAAGCCTTAGGTGTGAAATGGAGGTATAATTCTTGGATGTTTCTTAACAGCTAACATAGATAGCTCAGTCCCACACGTGATCTGTCAGAAGCTGGTACAGCCAGCCCTGCCATCACACAGTCCTGGCATAGTGAAGTGAAATATGACTAAAGTATATTGCTCTTCTTTAAATGGACTGTTCATGTGGTGCAGACCCAAAAGAGAATAATTTTCTCTATGAAACTGAAAAGAAAGTACAGTTGATAACTTGATCCTTCTTTCTCACTATAGGTTATATGAGAAAGAAGATACCTTAAAACCTCAAGCAGTATTATGGAAAATAATTATTGTTTTGTGGTACTTCTAATGTAGGGCTCTGTAAACTTTTACTTGGTAGTATTACATAAAATTATCTCTTCCCTCAGAGTATGAAGAGACAGTGATGGCACTGTTTGACTGTGGACTGTTTGAAAATATACTGACAAATATTCACTCAGGTATGTGCAGAAAAGCTGTCAGAGGAGCAGCTGGTTAGGGTTTGGCATTGAAGTTATTCTAATGAGAATTTTGATAGAACAGTCATTTAAAATGAAAATTCCAATGAACTTTTTTTTTCTCAATGTTATATAAACAGCTGAATAAAAGCCATAGCTACTTATGTCTTTAGAAAAACAGTATGTCAGATTTGGCTGGCTGACTTGAAGGAGGGGACAGCTCTCAGTTCCACAGCTTTGATAGGCCAAAGGGTCTCTGCCCCAACAGAACTCCCCTCTTGCAGCTTATTTCAGTTCCTTCTCCACAGCCTCCCTTCAGCAGCCTGCCAGCTTTACAGCTCTGCTGTTGGCTGACAAGTGCTGGTCAACTTTCAGCTGAAACACTACAGCCAAAGGCCAGCAGAACTTACCTTGACTGGGGGGAAATTGTACTGTGAAAAATAAGATGAGAATGTCCAGAGTGAAATACAAACAAAAGCAGGAACAGTTGCTTGGTAGCACCAGTGTGGATGGAAACTCGGGCTTGGAGCAACAAGGCTGAAGCTATTTTTCAGACAGGCAAATCTCATGCTCCCATTTCTCTCTGCAACAGTTATTCTAACTTTTGCTTTAATTTATTCTGGTGAAAAGAGTTTTAATTAGCTAATGTTGAGGTTCAGTATGTAAAGATGATGTTTGTTGTTTCCCCTTCACTTGACTGAAACAGCCAGGCTTCTCCTTTCAGTCTCCTGTTCTTGCATTTAAATTCCTTTTTCAGCAGTTGGAGTGTCTGATGTTGCAGTTGTCTGACACAAGTTCCAGTGCCTTATCTCAGGGTATTAAAACATCTCTGCTTGGAATTCCTCATGTGATACAACCTTGGATCACACTTGTTTCTTTCACTGCTGCATCAATTATTTCATCCTCTTCTCAGCTTACAGGAAAATTTCTTGATATCGGCACCTCTGTGCGCACAACCATGTGGTTCTTGTGGGTACAAGTTGTCCCCTCTCCAAATCCCCAGAATTCAAGCAGCTCAGTTCTTCCTGTACCATACAATCTTTTCTGACACCTTTTAATTTCAAGGTCAATAATGAGGTTGGTTCCAAAACTGATCCAAGAGGCACTCTTAAAATGAACCAGTGAGAAATGAACCAGTGAGAAAGGAATGAAAACCATGTTAATTACAAGTGAAACTATAGAGAGGGAAGCAAAWCACCAGCTTTTTTCCTTCTTTTTTAGGTTATTGTTACTGTTGTAATCTCTTAGAAGCTCTACCTAGCCTGTCTCTGTGGTGACATACCAAGTCAAGGACTTAATGAAGTAGAACTAGTATAAATATTGTGTCCCGAGCTGATGATTTTGGGTCACCTGCCATGGCTTACCTTCAATTATTTTTTTTGCATTTTACCTTTTGTCGCTTTTTTGGATCATCAAAAATCCAGAAGGCTGTTCTAAAGCCTTACATGTCAGCTCAGCAAGGCTACTCTGAACTGTCACTGTTCAAAGGGCTTTTTAAAATCCCTTTTATATGCAGGAATCCAGAGTCCYTTTGCAGCTTGCAGCTTTACTGCAAACGTAACTAAATGTAAAASCTTCCATATGGGATATGCTGTTGCCTCAGCAGCAGTTTCACATTTCTAGGTGGGAGGTTCTTGTCCTGTCCTCCAAGGAAAAGTGACTTCCTTTAATTTTGCTCTCAGTTCTGTTGTGCATCCTACTTGGGCTTTCCTTTCCTCTGTGCTGGTCAGCATTCTGGCCTGGAGCTTTTGAGCTCCTTGACAGCATTTATCTTCAGGAGGTTTGTAGCAGCAAATTGTGCAATTTGGTTGTGCAAAGGCCATGATAATTAATTTTAAAGCAGTTGTGCAGTTCCTTAACTGAGAGCCCCAGAGCATTTGTGGCAGTCATTCCAGATCYTCATTCCTCCGGCCATTCCTGATTTTACAGAAATACATTTCCTTTCCCTATAGGTCAATTGCCTGTATGAAGTAGAAAGTTCCCAATCTGTTACCTGCTTTCCTTTGGATACACTTCTGTTGGCCAGTCATTTCCATCACTGACATCTTTCTCTGGGCCACTTCTATTTCTGCCACATCCTTTTGGCAGGAGAGAAACTGAGCTATGTGTCTGGTGTCTTCCATCTGTAGCTCTCCCAAATGCTGAATCATCACAGGACCACTGAGTGTTCTGAGTTGGAAGAGACCCACAAGGATCACAGTACAACTCTTCAGTAAGTGGCCCTTATGGGGATTGAACTTGCAATCTGGGAGTTATTAGCATCATGCTCTAATCAACTGAGCTGTTTATTTCTGATAATTAGTTAATATCCAGATACTCTCTAAGAGGGTTTTTTTTTCCCATTTCCACTTGTATGTGTCCAACTTCTTCAAATATGCGTCATCTGACTGCAGAGGGAAGGTGCACCTGCTTCTCTTCTGTCACAGCTAGGCTGGGGCACCAGGTCCCTATTCAGTGAACTGCTACCAGAATTTTCCATGGACATTGGGCACCACCATTGCTCCAGTTGCCTGTTTCCAACACCCCCACCCAGCTGTAGGTAATGGATTTCAAAATGTGTGGATGTCCATCATCTTCCACATCCACCCACAGACAGCAGGTGATGTGCTTTCTTGTGCTTTCTGACTACAGATGAAGAAGATGCAACGAGGCAAAAGGTCAAAGTGCTTTTCTTTTTTTTCAAAGAGGTTAAGGCTTTCTAATTCTGAATGGCACAGGGTAAACAGCTGGAGATAATTTCTCCAMTTTGGAGACATTCTTCAACATCTCCCTCCCCCAAAAGAGGAAATATAGGTTCAGTTTGTACAAAATGTCTTTTTCTTCTTACTGAAATCTGAACTCTTAACATTCTCACACACTGAGAAAGGCATTGGTTGTTCAGCCTTGCTGCTCAGAGGTCACCAACACCTCTGTATGTCCTGTTAACTGAATAAAGTAGGTGCTTCATTTAAAACTTAAAATTAATGCTGTAAGGTTGTGGTAATGCTTCTGATTACTGACCAGGCCCATTACTGAGCTCTCAGTAACTTCAATAATCTTTGACATTAGGRAAATGGAAGCAGCAGAGGGAAGCAGAAATGCAGTCAAGCAGGGCTTTGCAAATAAGGTAAACAACTTTGTTAATCCCATCAGCACACAATCAATAATGGTTTTGCCAGAAGCAGGAGAATAAATGCTACTGAATTGTGATTCTGAGAATCAGGTTGTTGAATGCAGTTGTCCAAACCATCTCTTTTTAGGTTTAATTTTATTATTGGTTAAAATCCACTAGGCTTGTAAATTTGCTTTAGAAGTGTAATTCAGAGATGGTATCTTTAAAGATTTAAAATACATCATGGTTGGAGGAGTTCTTACACAAATAGATTTAAAACATCTCAGCATATGTAAAAATCATCAGTTTAGCTACTAACCCTGTCGTAACTGGCAGATGAGCTTTAGCAGTTGTTTTTAGAACCTATCCYAAAACTAGCTGTTATAGATTTCAGCATATGGATGGCAGAATATGTGACTCCTGCTTTGTGCTTTCTACGACACACCAACCAGGCTTTCTCACCAAAGAGTCCAGCTCTTTGTGAAGACACCAGGTGTGCACTGAGGTGGATTACAGACATTGCTGCAGAAAGGCAGAGGTTTTATTGTAGGTTAAATCAAGCATTGGGAGCCTCTGCAGTGTTAATGAATGTGTAATGTATTTTGTATTAATAACAGCTACATGTAACAACAAAATCTTTCTATCCCTCAATAATAAAAGCTTTTTATTTCTTTTTGTGATAGGAACAGATGGAAGAATTCAAGAACTCCTGGAAAACAGGAAAAGACTGGATCACAAGATTGAGCTACTGCGGGACTTAAAAGAAGTCATCCTTCCTACTCCAGAGAACGCAGCCAGTACATCCAGTACAGTGTCTGAATAGCCCCTTTTTGTGCTGTTATCAGTAATTAGGATTTTCTAATGATAAAAAACCATAGAGTAGTCCAGTCAGTGTCTTATKCCCCAGCCCCAAGACAGGGACCCAAGCAAGAATGGGGTGTTACACTCATTTTTATACCTCACTGTTGCAATAATTTCAAGTTCTTCAAGTTTTCAGATCTTCATCTTCATATTTTACAAAGGAATGAGTGTTATACACTAAATATTGAGCTTTTACAGAAACTCAACAGAACCCTCCAGTGAAGACTTTTGTCTCAAAGCCAAGGGAGTTTTCAGCTGCCACAGAATACTTGTTAAAGTCACTTTAACTGTGGGAATCCTCTCTCTTGGCTGGCAGTAGCTGCCTCAGTGTCTGGGTCTAGACAGTGATATTTGAAGGATGTTGCTGCTTTGGCTTTCCCAAAGAAGACATATGAGCAGAACTTGCACTCTAAGAAGCCTTCTGAATTATTAACAGGAGTTTAATTTAAAAAGCCAAATTATTCTTTATGGACTGGTCAATGTGTAACTGTTACTACTGTAAGAGCAGTGGTACAGCAGTGTTTGCAAGCAGGCCAGTAACGGTTGGGCATTATACTCTGAACATGTACAGTGTCAAATGGAGCAAAACAATGGACTGGATCTTCCTTTCTCCATTAAGAAAGGATTCAACTTTCATTAGTTTCATCTTTATAATATTGTTTGAATACAGAAAAGCTAAGCTAACAAAATAAAACATTTTTTTAAAAGAGCTGTGTGTGGAGTTGTACTCCCTGTCCCCGCTGCTGCTCAAGATGTGGCCAAGGAGGGGGAATCCTGTCAGACCATACTTCACCTTGCCCTCGCTTCCCTGGAGAGCAAAGCACCAGAGTGCTGCACTGCCCTAAGGACAGCAAAGACCACTTGGCATGACATATGTGACATCCCCTTACAACAGCTGTACTCTCTCCCTGACCACTTAGAATTCCTGACATGAGCTTGTTCTGTAGGAAGGTAGGGATCAATAAGCACAAAATAACAGCATTCAAAACAAGCTCTTGAATTATGGGCTGTGCCCCATACATCAAAATAGTAGTAATTTTAATTGTTTACACAGTTCAAGTCTGCTGCCCCTTTGGGCCTAGAAACACCACCCATACATGCTGCCCAAGTCCAAGACTTGAGTGCCACTCACAGCTATTGGGCCTAAAAAAACCCCACCTAAAACAAAACTGCATTAACAAGGAGTTCTGTTACTAAACACAATAGTAAGTATGTCCATACATACCTTCTGAAGGGTTAGAGGCACTTACGGATGACAGTATAAAAAAAATCAGATCCATAGACTGAATCACTGAGATCTAAAATTAGTGCCTACAAAGAAATGTGCTCATTTCTGAAATAGAGATTAGATATTGTCAGGCACTGAAATCAGCAAGATTCAGTGTATGGAGTGAGTTGGGTTTTGGCATTATTTTTTGTTTGTTTGGGGTTTCCTTTGCTGTTTTGATGAGGTTTTTAAAATGAAACAACTTAGATGCTGTATGTAACACAAAAGCTTGCAATGTTGTTCAAAATCCAAAGTTCGCTAGTGAAGAGGTACAAAAAAGTGAATTTTATTATATGTAGTTTTAATTTAGACAATAATTAAAAGTAAAACCCCAGGCAGCTTTCCCTTCCCTCTCCAAGGGAACCAATGTAATCTGAAGTCACTGAAGAGGAAATTATTTCCATTAAGCACTATAAATATTGTTTGAACAGATTACACAGTGTACACCTTATAACTTACATTAAAATATACCCAAATACAGATTTACTTCAAATTAGTTTTCCTAGTAACGTCTTCCTTCAAAGTCACTTGCAGAGGCCTTGAGGATACGTTATTTTTGCACACTTGAAGCACTGGATACGCTTGGTTAATTACACACAGCAAATGGCCAATTCATTCACAATCATGCAAATGCAGGAAGAGATAACCATCCCATTTGCTGCTCTATAATCCCAGGGAGTTAATGATTTTTGTGACATCATTTAGTGGCTCGAGTCGGATTATCTTCAAACCCCAATCAATTAATACAAAATATCAGCAGGCAGTGCTAGAACTGACATTTCCTAGGCTGGAAAGACAAGTCTGGAGTCTGGAACACCAGCCAGAATCCTTAACACGGTGCAGCATTTCCTCTCTGCCTGAAATCTTGGAATTGGTTTCACCATCCAGATTTGCTAAATGCAAGTGAATATTTTGCTTGACATTTTTACAACAGCTCACTCTCCAGCACTGGAAACATTTTGTTTTCACTGAGGCCTTTCACATCCTCCGGTCCAAGAGACCAGGAACACTTGCCTTGACCCACACAGTTACATTGTAGCTGCAAAAAGAACCGCCTGAACATCATGACTTACAGCCTGATTTCAGTTCTTAAAGGCTCCACATTTACTGGCTTTAGCAATGAATTCCTTTAGCAGGGGACCATCCATTTGCCAAAATGCTGTCGTTTGTGTCACTTCTGTCAAATGATTGACACAAAACTTAAAGCAGAATTCCTCTAAGTCCTAAACAGGAGAAAAAAAAAAGAAAAAGTTACTATCTTTGCTTTTATCTTTGCTTTCAATCACAAAAAAATTTCATTGAGGCACAAATGCCTGTTTATGTTTTACTTTTGCAGAGTATTTGACAAACACACCCAGTGGCTCTCCAAGACTTCCCCCAACAGTCACTAGGTAAATGCAACAGAAAATAAAAATTCTACCCATGTATGTCACTATGTAAATGCAGTTACAAGGGGAAGTAACCAAAATTTTTCATTATATTGCAGCAGWCACAAAAATCAGCTGTTCTGAGAAATACATATTTTAAGTTCTCTCACTCGAAGAGTTTCATCTGCATTCACTGACCGCTTTGAAACTCCAATACAAATAGGAGACTTTGGGGTAATGATGCATAACCAAGACTGTGGATAAAGAAAATTCAGCTCTTTCTTTCCATAATATAAACTCAAATCTATTTGTAAGGCGGCTTGACTTCCTTCCTGCTTATTTAAGGGCTTAGCTATAGTCTGGAAGTTCCATGTCCTCAGGCTCAATCCAAGTGTATCCTGACCAAAYAGTTTGTAAAGGAAAGATTAAGCAGGTCTTTCTGTGCATTAGMAGCAGACTCATGTTACAAAGTACTTCACAGGTCTCCCAAATTTGATTCAAAAGCAGTACTGTAGCACAGTGCAGCACAGCAATTCTTGCAGAAAGTGGGCTCCAGATAGTTGCATTTACTTAGAAGTGCCTTCCAGTTAATAATTAGGAAAGCCTCACAACCATCACTGCACCTGGCTGATGTCAAATAGAGAGGATATATTAAATAAAGAACATAAGGCAGAGTCTTTGTCAGTGTAAGGATGCCCATAGAACACTTCCCACTCAGATTATTTCTAACTCCTCTTCTGAGGAAGAAATCTACTCTTTGGTGCAGATCTAAGCYGCTGTAAGGAGGATGCCGCAGCCCTGACGAAAGGGCAACTCTCGACTCTGTTCTCATTTCTTTATTAGATGTTTGTRGGAGTCTCTGTATGTGAGAACACATCCTTCCTTGGCTCTCAGCAGACTGGGCACTACAGAAAGGAATAACAAATTTGCAGAGCCCTTCAAGCTCCATGAGGTGTGAAAGACTGAATAATATTAATGTTTTCTCTTAAGGTCAATACTGAAAGCTAAAGCAACTGTGTGTGCCAGTGAGAGTTCTTGATACAACAATAACAAAAATATATCCTGGCCTAAAACCAGGCATTYTGAAGCTGCAGATCTTGACTTGTGTGGCATCTGTGCAACAAAAAAAGACAAGCTTATTAGAACTGAACACTGATTTTTTTTWAAACAACAGAATTAACTAGCATTTTGAAGAAAATTACATCATACACATCACAGTATTTTGCACTGCTTTATTAAAAAATTCATATTCTAAGTCAATGCAACAGAAGCATACAATAAACAGAATTATTGTAGTGTTAGTAAGTAACTCTGGAAAATTTAAAGTTCTGTATCAAAAGAAAGGCTACGTTTCATTTACAGATGGATGCACTCCCAGCAAACTACTTAATATAGACTTAGGTGAATAAAGGCACAAGGTACAGCCAAGGATTATTTTAAATGCTACAATGAGAAGCCAGCCCTGACGTAATTTTAGYCACTTCAGTCAGTCACCGTAAGAAACTGCAGGTGTTTCACATCAGAAGTATTTTAAATTAGTGAAGCAGCTTCTTTTAACTGGTGACTTCGAGGCACACACTCTCCTGAATGAACAACATCAGCCATTCCAAGCCCCCAGCCAGCATTACAGCATGTAAACCCAACATGTTAAAGCCCAACCCYGCAGTGTCACCCATTCTTTCCTGGAAGCAGCATTTAAGCCTATAGTTCTAATTTCACTTAGCTAGTGAGGCACAACTAAGGCACAGTAACTGCTTGCTTTTTTAACAGCTCTTACAAGCAGAATCAATCACACACTGAAGACCCATCCCACAAACCACCTCTGGAGGCTAAAATATGGAAATCTTCCTATTTTCGATGAGCTCCCACCAAAGACATCATTGTTTACAGTAGAGCGGAAGCCACAACAGACATTAACACAGCTTTTTGGGTAAGATCAAACAAGCAACACACTTCAAGGCTCTGAAGTAAGTTAGAGCAACCTGCATGCCAATTGCTGGAAATTAAGTACAAGGAAAAGCAACGAGTTGATTTACTGAGTTTCAAAAATTGCATTATAAGTGTAAGTAGCAAGTTCAAAACCAACCAGTTGCAAAGTTGCCAACACAATGCACAGGTACTACAAACACAAACAGCCAACGCAGGCCCAGGAATACTTCCCCATCAATAGTTCCCAAAGGAGTCCTTTAGTGATCTAGTAGGGAAGTTTCACTCGCCTCCCCACCCCTTTCCACACGCTGTTCCTCTGTCTTCAGCATTTATAAGGCCCACAAAGCAGTTCTCATCCTGACATTTCATTTGCATACTGTGAAAACTAGAAATCTATTTCATCATAGCTAACAAAACAAAAAGAAAAAAAAAACCCACCCCACCAACCAAAAAACTCGCAAATGCAGTCAATCCCCAACCTACCAGCACGTCACCACACAACACACTGCCTTTACAAATAAGTAACTTAATGCTTAAAAGACTGCTTTTCATTATGTTACTTCATTTTTTGGTATTTAAACCCTTTCCTCATTTCAGAGTTAGTGTTTCCATCCTCAGAAATACCTGTGTTCTAGTTCACCTTCCCAGTACTGGTTTATGGGGAAAAACAAAAATAAAAAAAGAAGGCACATCTCATGACAAATTCAGTTTTTATAAATTCAAAATTCTCAAATTCTGAAAGTGGCAAATAGCATTATCTGAAAGTAAAAGAGTTTATATCAAAATGTAACAGGCTGCTTTACTCCACAGTATAAGTCAGGAAGTAGCCATCCATTTAAGAGATTGAACTTTAGAAGTTTACCTCTGCATCATATCTGACAGCAGCAGAGAGTAATGAAAATGCATTTTCCACAGTAATTCCTCTCTTGATAATGTGCTGACACAGTTTTTTCAGTCTGTTTTCACAGTATGAAGTAGCCAAATCCAAAAGCCCTGTAATTAAAACACCATTGCATCAGTCAGTTGTAAAATGATCTCTGCTCTTTCAACATCAGTTTCTGCTCCTGGGGTACAGATTGCACCTGCATTCTGTGTGCAAAGCTCTGTATCCCTATAATGTGCCTTTTCCAAGTAGGTCA